ATTCCTCCCTTCCTTTCCATGTCAGGTGAAGCTGAACTTGCAGAGATTCCCGAAGGTTATGTTCCAGAGTACTGGGAATACTACAAAGTGAGTGTAACATGTAAGAGAGTGGCATGTTACAGACAGCCTTTCTCTTGATGGTACTTTTGGAGTAAACTTACTTTTTTTCAGCTTTATGGACCATGCATATTGCTGTAGGAAATCTGTTTATTGACACAAATAGATGCAAATGCTCTGTAACTTTATGCTGGAGCTATATGCCAAGTATTCATAGCATGCATTTTTTGTCTTTGTTTCTTTTCTTCAACATCTTAAGAGTTTAAGGTGACATTTCTTTATTTTGTATTGTGTGCCAGCAAACAATATTTAAACAATATTTAAAGACCAATATTACACATGCTTTTGTATCTAGAATTGAAGATATTTATAGTCAGAAATTCAAGGTTGTATGTGTTTAATTTCATTATGTTTTCTTAAAATTAGTCCCTGGCTTCTTGCTGCAAGCACTGTTTTGTTTCTGGTAGGAAGTAATTGAATTCAGCAATATGATTGTGACTATTTCAACTCATGTAGACTTTTGTTCCTAGTGAAATGCCCTCTATGTGGAAGCAAAAGTTTGAAATGTTACTACTTACAGTAGGGTTTGGGGTCCATTTCAGTGATTACAGTGGCAGTTTAAGGAACTTTACTTCAACAGAAAGAAAATAAATCATGTGTCTTCCATTAACTGTTAATCTTGCTACAGAATAGCCATCTGCAGGTTATCTTGGCATAAAAAATGTCAAAAGAAATATGGCTTTTTAGAGTTCTGACGTCACAAATAGTTGTACATGTTTTTAACTTTACTATTGTGGTTTGAATGGCAGCACTCATAACGTCTACAACATCTTCTCAGGGCTGTGAATATACAAAATTATTCAGCCACGATGACATTTCTACTTGGAAAATGAATAATCTCTGCTTTTCTATTTTCCAGCACCCCATCAGTCGCTGGATCGCTCGTTACATCCTTGACCCCCCTGAAAAGGACTATGAGAAACAGATGGCTGTGCTTGACATGGAGGCGAAGAAAAGTGAAATGAGGTACATTCTATAGTTGATGGTTTTAAAATACTGGTGCACACTGTAGTTGACTCTTTGATTTTGCTTAACATACTGAGCTGGATGCTGACATAAAGTGCTGTCCTGTATCACCTGACCCTGAGTGCTGCTGCCAGGGTGGAAGTTGCTGTGTATGTTGTCCCTGCCTTTTCAGTATTAAGATTACCAGAACAATCCAAGGGCAGTCTTGTAAAATAACAGGGGCTCTTCAAAACACTTGGTATTTATAAAGGTATAGCTCAGTCTTCCTGAGTCAGCAAGTGGACAGCTCTTCTTGCCCCTGCTAATGCTTTCAGCTAGACAAGAACTTATGACAAAACTCCTGCAAGTATTTTTATTACTCCTTTGCAAAATAACTTGCTGAAAAAAAATAAAATGGAAGGATATAATAGCTCGTGTTTTAGTTGAACCCTTCACATTTTGGTATTACCTGTGTTTGAGCAGTATTTATAAAGCACAGATGCTAAAGTCATTGCTAATGTCAGTAATGCCCTGATGTTAAACAATCAATACATCAATAAACTCCCTGTTGAGTGTGTCTATTGTTGGGTTTTTTTCAGGCTGATGGAGTTGGAGGCACGCAGACTGATGAGACACCGGGGAGATGGACCTTGGTATCATTATGAAACACCTGATAAGAACCTTGTTGACAATTCTATGAAATCCACACCTGACAATTAAACAATTTTAGGACAGCGTTCATGGTCTTAAATGCATACTGACAAATTGTGACTGAGCTATGGAATAGACATCCTGCTGTTTGCTGATGGAAATGAATAAAAATAAACAATGGTTGTGTTGATTCCAGTCACTTGAAAGAAAGTGTGTGGCAGTTAAGCTCATATAGCTGTTAAAGTCAGCAAAAGTGCCTTATGTCAGTTGGCAGAAATTACTCCTTCAGAATATCAGTGATGTTCTGTGACCTAATATATGTGAAACAAGTTAGTAATACTAGTTTTCACTGTGTGACTTCTAGCATTTAAAGTTTTAAGTGAAAGGGAGAGGAAATGGTAAGGATTTTTCTTCCTCAGTGCCTTGTGTCAGATAATTGGTGGAAGATAAACTAAGTAAGAAAAATACCTTCATATCTTTGCATTATTAGGATTATATCTACCACTTTAGGCAAATACTTTTTCATTACTGAGGTTTTATTACCTAGATAGCTCCTGTGTTTTCAGAAGGCAGAATTAAAACACAAGTGCTTGCCCAGACCTATGACTATCTATCTACACTGTCAGATGTGGGAGTAGAAAGCAAAGGAAGGGTTCTTGAACATTAAAAAGCAAGTGGTGCGTGTAAATTTGTTTTAGTGATTTTCAGGGGATTTTATAAGTCTTTCATCTAACTCATGATATTCTATGTAAAACTTCTCAGAAGAAAGAAGGGTCTTGGTGGACAAATACTAAAATAAGTATTTCCCTATTAACTGCTGCATATCTAACATTTTTAGCAATATATAAAGTTATTGATACTGTTGTTAGAGAGGTTGCTACTTTCTGTAGCAGGCTTAGTATGATGAAGAAGGGGAAAAAGGAAACTGCTTGTTGAAGGTTGTTGTGGAAGGATTGCTGGATGGCTGAAGAGCAAGGATCGAGCCAGGGAGAATGGTATAGGCTGACATGAGTTAATGGGTTTTATGGGTCACCTTATCACTGCTGGGTGAACAGATACCATCTTCTGCTCTGTGATTACACACCTTTTAGTACATCGAAATCCAAGTCTTGACAGCAGAATTTCAAGATGAAAGCTTCACATTTTATACTCCCAACACTTTTCGTGCAAGCAGTGTTGGAGATGAAAAGGGTAAACCTTTCTGGTGTCATTTAGGATAACTCAAAGGCTTCTTTTGTGGGATGAATTTGAATTAAAAAAAGCAAACCAAAAGAGTTTATATCAAAACCAAAAGAGTTTATATCAAAACTCATGTGGAAATGTGCCATGCAACCTTCATTAACCAAGAACAAATTAAGAAAGACGTAAGGTGAATAAGGTGAGTTGCACTTGGGACAGCCCCACACTTACCTGCCATGCATTTTCAGAACTGTACAGCTGGTTTTCTACACCACTTTTAACAATTCCATAGGGTATACGGAGGGGTTTCCCTTTACCTGGCAGGCTTTTGCCACTAGAGGGATGTGTTTCCTCAGGTTCTACAGCCCATGGTACTCCTCTGGTTTTAAATCTCAGGAGTGATGGAAAGTGCCTTTTACAGTTTGTGACCCTAAATTATCTGTCTGTATTCAAAAGCCCCACTTTTTAAAGGAGATAAGCCCAAGCCCTTTACTAACCCCTGATCATCTTGTGGTTTGAAACTTAAAAGATAAATTTCTTTACATTAAGTGACACTGCATGGACTATTTTAAGCAAAAACTGCCTCGTTTGCTGTTTCCTGGCAGGACCAAACATTAGAAAGACATTGATTTTGTATCAGTGCTTTGCTTGTCCTTTTTGTTTGAATCAATCTTTCAGGTTAGATGGCTCATATGTCTTATTGTGGCTCTCATTGTTTATAAATGCTGAGTTATTAATAAGGGAAGCCATTAAAAAAGCACAAAGTCTCCTCAGGTAAAATAAATCTGTCTGGCCCTGTATTACTGTTTTTTATCCAGCATCCAAAGCGCTCACAAGTCTGATGTAATGTCTGTTCTCGGGTAAGTCTAAAATCATTCCATGAACATCACATTCTGCCCTCGGTGTTTCACATTGTTCCCAACACTTCTAGAAAACTTCCTGAGATCAGAGTGCACTGCTCTGCTCACCCTCACAGCCTGCTCATAGCTGGATACGGACTTATTTTGCCATTCTGTTTTTAATTGAGATTTTCCTAGAACCACCTTTTGAAACTTCAAATTTTGAGGTAAAAGGTGGTTCTAGTGAAGGTCACATCACCTGCTTGGAAGTGATCGATGAATCCTTGGATATAATGTGGATGTGTGGAAGGTTATTTACCTACATTACTCATTTTCATTTTAAATGGGCCTGTCATTTCCTCAATGCTGCTGCTGCCAGGCACATGCAATAGTTATTGCTTGAAAAAAAAGTTATTTCAATATTTTTTCCTACAAAGTTACTTCATTCTATTCCTCCTTCCCCTCACTATTCTTTTGAAGTGAAAAGCAGAGAGAAACAGCAAATGGCCCGAAAAAGGTCACTTTAAGCTGAAGGTACTGTCCCCCTCAAGACGTGAGGTCTGGGTTTGGTTGCTGGCACTGCCGCAGGAGTGGCATCCCAGGGCATCCCAGGCTGGGCATTCCCGCCCTGCATCCCACCACCTCGTTCCTCCACACCGACCTGCCCCGCTCGCCCCGCGACATCCGAGCCGTCAGCGCGGCCGTGGTGGGACCGCGACAGTCACCGGACACACGGGACACCTGCATCGCGGCACTGGGCAATTGTGGGGGAGGGACTGAGCGTTAAAATATACACCATGCATTTTTTACTATACCTATTTCATACAAAAAAATAAAAATACTATATATATATATATAGTATTGAATGGCTTAAAAAATAAAGGAGACTGTAGTAGAGTATTACCGGTCAAAGGGAAAACTGCTCCGCGCTATACAGGGAGACCAGCAGGCGAAGTCTCCGTCCTTCCCTCATGGGAACGAGGATTTTCGAGGGTGAAACGCGGGGCCTCGTCGGGAAACCGGGCTGGGAATCCCGCCCCCGCCGCCCTGCCCGTCGCCCGCCCCCGCCGGGACCCCCGAGTGCCGCCGCCGCAGCTGGTGCCGCTCCCGCTGCCATTGGATTAAAAATAGCATCTTCCCTCCCCCTGCCCTCCCTCGGGCCCGGCTCCCGCCGCCGCCCTGCCCCGGGCCCGGCTGCCCTGCGCCTGCATCGCCCGCGCAGAGCGGCTCCGCAGGGCGGGCGGGCGGCAGGGAGGGAAGGAGGGAGGGAGGGAGGGAAGGAGGATGCAGCGGGCCGCGCTCTTCCGCGGCGGCGATGCGCAGATGGCCGCCGGGGACCTGGGCGAGCTGCTCGTCCCCTACATGCCCACGATCCGGGTGCCCAAGTCAGGGGACCGGGTCTACAAGACGGAGTGTGCCTTCTCCTACGACTCGCCCGTGAGTGCAGCGAACCACCCCCGGCTGCATCCGCGCCCCCTCCCCGCTGCGCCCGCCCCGAGCGGCCCCTTCCCGCTTCCCGCCGCACCCCCGCTCCCGGGGCAGCCCCATCCCTGGGCCGCTGCCTCTCCCTGTGGCTTCAAAATCCCCCCGATCCCTTCCTCCACCTGCCGTGGCCCCCCTCGCCCTCCAGGTGCCTCCCCCCACGCTCGGGGGTCGCGGCCCGTGCCCCGCACTGCGCTGGAGCGGCGGGAGCGCTCCCCGCACATCCCCGGCTCCTTCGCAGTAGCGCGGCTCCTTCCTGTGTTTGTTTGTTTATCTTCCTCCTCAAGGCAGTCTCAAGTGGTTGCTTGGACACGGGGATTTTGTGGTTTTTGGGGAAACTTCCCTGTCTGATCTGCCTGTCCGGGTTTGCCCATCCCCGCGGAGCCCTGCTTTTGCTTTCACACCGAGGTAGATAAAACAGGGGCAGTAGCTGGCCTTCTCCTTGGTTTATTTTGGCAAGCAGATGCCAACAGTTTTGCTTTCCCGCTACCTCGGTGCTCGTTCTGTTCAAAATCTTCAGGGAAAGCTTCCAACATAAAGGCTCATCCTGAAAATCTATGTGAAAGTTCCCCTGAAACACTTTCTCCCCCACGGTTTCAGTTACGTCACTGAACTTCAATGAACTTGTAGTATTTCCCCACTAGCTTGGTTAGTTTGCTGTTAGATGAATGCTTCGTGTGCAGCAAACTTTCTGTGGTGTTGTTTTTATGATGTCTTGCAAATCGTCCACCAGCTCTGCAAATTGCATGTGTTCAGTGGCAGGTTTGGGGCCTGACTCATTTTTAACTTCACTGGTAATACTGGAAGTCTTTGTAAATAGGCAATGCTTTGTGAAGAACAGGTGCTTAGAAATTACACTTTTTTTAAACTGAGCTGAAGTTTTATTAAAAGTTGCTTCTCCACATGAAGCTGAGTTTTCCCAAAGGTGATCAAACAGTACGTATTGATGTTAATGCCAATGGCAGCAATCAAAAGGAAGCTCAGGGTTTACATGGCAGAATATTAAATGGAAGATACGTTTCAGACGGATTTTTGAAATCCTTTATCTGCTTCTTTTCAATAATTCCCTCTCTCTTTGATAAATCCTTCTAATACACAAAATCAAACTTGGTTTTAAAGGTGACTCAGCTGTCTGGTGTTCATCATGTCTTGTTGAACAGAGGTTATTTTTACCCACACTCTTCAGATCTCAAGTGTCACCCAGCAGCCCTGACTGTACTGGAGGCGGCTGATTAGAACTGCCAAATCAGACCCTACTGCAGAGGCGATAATTGCATTATATACTTAAGAAGGTTTTGGCGGGGGAAAATCAATATACCATAATCTTTCCTTCAAATTTTTGCTTGGGTGAGCACATGGTTGATGTTTTTAGTAACACTTTCAGACTTCTTCAAAGTTATGGTTTCTAAAAAATTTCTGTTAACATATAGGAAGGGATATTAAATACTGTCACAGATTAAAAACCAATCAATCACCACCCCTCCAATAAGCCTCAAGTAAGCACAGCAAAAGCACTTTATATATTTGAACAAAGCATAAAACATTTGAGCAAAACTTAACAGAAACTGTGGATAAAAGCAGGAGTTGAAATCAGCATGTGTGATTTCTTTGTTTTGTTTTGGTTTTTTCCCAATACTCAGTAATATTTCATCCTTTTGACTTTGTTGGAAAGAGATTTCAAATTTTGGAAAATGCTGCCCTCCAATGTAAAAACTTTTTGTTTAAATTGTGTTATGGACATTCACTGGGCAAAAGGCTTGGCTGAACCTATGCAGTATCAGCAAAAATAAAAATAAAAGTAGTGCCAGTTTTTATTGTTTCCTGTGGCTTTTCAGCCCATACTACTCCTCACCTTAGCTGAGTAAAAGCTAAGGTGAGGAGATTGTCGCAGATTTTATTTTTAATTCCCTATAATCTAAGAGATACCTGGATATTGTTTCTGGGACGGCGTTTCTAAGGGGCAAATGTAATGTGTGCTTTCAAGGGCAAAACGCTGTCATTTACAAATGGAAAACAGCAAAGCTGTGTTTTTACAGTTTTCCATTCAGAAGGAAAGTGAAGGGATACAGACAGGCTGGTGCTTGGCTAAAGGGAGATGTTTATGTTTTGTATTAGGTTGTTTTTGTGACTTATTTTCTTAGGTTATCACCTGAGTGAACCTCTTCCTGTTGAGATTACTGCCTCTTTTTGAAAGAAGGTACAGTTTGTTAGCTTTGTTATAATGTTAAAGCAGATGATCAGTGTTAAAAAACATGTTCTTGATTTTGTTGGCCATGCTAAAATCCCAGATTGCATTTTTGATGGAGGAGGTGTTTTCTTCTGTAACAATATTTCTCAGTATTTCCTCACATCTTCTTGTTTTGCCATTTAAAATATGCTCCTTGTTACAGTTTAACTTTACCATGTCTCTGTTTGGAGTCAACTCAATGCAAAATGTTTTGTTCTGTTGCTTTTTTTCCAATACAAGTCTAATTTCAGTATTTTTTTTTCCCTTATCCCCCTTTCTTCTTCTCCAAAGAAGAGAATTTTCGGAGTGTTTGTATGTGTTACAGTGACATACCCAGTAATGTAGCAATTCTATACTCAAGTTTCTTTAGCCATACTAATTGTGTATTATTACTTTTCATATAAGGATGTGCTGTGATCTTTAAAATACACTGAAAACCATCAGACCTGTGAGTATTAGGGTACAAAGTATGGTGATGATGATGATGATGAAAGATTCAGCAGCAATTTTGAAAGGACCAAGCAAAGTGGAAAGGTCAAAACCAGAGCTGTTCCTGTCAGGGGGTGCCAAGGAAAATGAGGTGCTGGGTGTGAGTAGCTCCATCTTCTACTTCCAACTGTGCAAAGCAAGACCTGGCTTTTGCAGCCCTGTTTGTCACCCTGTCAGTTGCCTTGTTGTCTGGATTTGAGTAGTACAGTGTCACTGAAGATCCATGTTCCAGTGGATGTAGGCAGCTTTTCTGTTCTCAGAAGTGGTCGATGTTCCCTTTCTATGAGTTCAAAATCTTACTTCCTTGGGTGAAGATGTGAGAACAATGGCACCTTTTTGCTGCAGTGACAGTCATTAGTTGGGAGAGTTCAGAAGTGTGAGCTAGGAGAGGTACAAGTGGATATTCAGTATATTTTTTACACATGGATTAACTGTATTATGGTGCTCTTCTCAGAAAGGTGGTATTGTTAGAAATATCACTAAACAGATGAGGAATTCATGTCCTTAGTTTTGGCCTACTTTCAACAGATCATACTAGGGTTGGTTCCCAGGAAAGTTGGCAGAAACAGGAGGCAAATTTCTGTGCACTCAAGAGCCCTAGTGACACTTTTTAGTTTGCTTGTCTCATAAGATGAGAAAATATGCCTTTTTATGACTTAAATTTTAACTATTTTTCTGTAGATTTTTTTGGTGTCTTCTAGGAAAACTGTGTTTCTGTGATGGGGGCTCTTACTCCAGTTAGCTGTTCTTTTATAGAGGAATTGAGGAGGGAAGGCAGGCTGCTGGTGAAACACAAGCCTGGCCTAGTGTTGGTTGTTACTTCCTCCAGTGACTGGCCCAGCAGCTCTGGGAGCCAACTGCTTCCCTTCAATTTGGCTGATGAAGTCCTGTACCTCTAATTTTTCAGATCTGAGGTGCAGTCCTCCCTGCTGGTGACTTTTTCCCTATCTCTGCCACTGTGATGTAGGTTTCTTCTCTCTTATTGTGTCTGCTGTGACTTCTCTTCCTCTTTTGATGGATGAGCCTGACTTTGTGTTCAGTAGAATGCAGGAGGTAAATTATGTAACCTTTTGTCTTACTATTATTTCTATAGAAGTGTAGTACTCATCTGTGGAAATCCTACCTTTTAATGGGATCCTGGTCTCAAAGACCTCTGGTCATGTTAGATCAGACCCATCCGAGGGAGAGGCAACAGCTGGAAAAGGGATACAAATGGGAGTATAAGAAAGACTTACGTGTATAGCTGTGGAAGTTGTACATGGATGTGCTCTGAAACCTTCCCCATGAAGGGCACCGGTTACAACCCCAGCACAGCTCATGAGTCTGACACAGGGACAGGACCAAGCAGTCTGGTTCTGTAGAGAGCAGGACTGTGTTTGTTTGAGCAGCTGAAAGCTTGGCTTTGCTCCGCTGGAAAACCTTGCTGCTGACAACAGCTTCCTTTGTGAATCTTGCTGACTTCATTTTTGTGGCTCAGGAACTCTGTAATGGTTATGCTGGGACAATTCCCAAAGGCTAAACTGTGCTGATGCTCTGCTGTTTGTTATACAGTACAGTTGAGACAGAAATCCTTGAGAGTCTGGAGTGTGTAATGGACACATAACATGTCCACATAACGTGTAAAACTTTCTAGAAATAAGCAGCTCCTATCTGGCTGTTCCTTTGGTCAATATTCCTTGAAGAAAATCAGAAAGTCACTGTGGCCATTGTCTGTGAGGGGTAGGCTGATGTCTTGTTTCCATTGATGGAATGAGAGTAGGAGTGAGGAGACAGGAGGACTGAACACCCTAAGACAAATGGAACACTCCAGACAAAGAATTTTGACCTAACTGCAAAAGGACCTCCACGTTACTGAGGCAATGAATTCCTTGGTGGTGGGTGATCACCTGAAAAGTCAGAGTGGAGTTGTACTGTTGCTTGACAGGGAGATACCAAAGCTGTCCACACCTGTGGACGAGTGTTTTGCTGGCTGGGAGTGCACCAGAACTCTAAGGTTAACTCACTGGTCTTCTGAAGTTGGAGAATGTAAGATCAGTAAGGGTTGTGCCTGCAGTGGCCGACACGAGAAATAACTGTGCTGCTTTGGAGGACAAACAATGTGTATTTGCATTGTGCTTTTCCTTGGGATTGATTTAAATTTGGATCTTACTAGCTTTTCCATCTGTAAGTGTGACTGACAGTGCTGTTATCTGGAGTGATGATGGACTGGATTATTTTGGGTAGCAGAGAGACTTTGATTGTAGGGTACCTGGAGTGTCAGATGATAAATGCAGAGATGCAGATGAATGGACAATGCTGGAGCTCTGCTATGGAACCATAAGCTTTCCTCTCAATGCTTCTTCCCAGATTTTCTGTTCTGGAAGCACAGCACTGTGCTATGAAGCACAGAACTATGCAGCCAGAGCTCTGCAAAAACCAAAACCATCAAGCTCCCTAAATCTAAGCTGCAATGGAAGTGGTACAGGTGGTGCTCCTTGAGCTGAAGTACTGGGCTTGAGCTCAGCCGGCAGCCGTGGTGGGTCTGAGACACCTCTGTCAGTGGCCCTCACAATCTGCACCTGGATAATCTGTGATCTTCCAAACAGTGGCGATTGATGGGTGGAACTTCTGTATTCCTGGTTGCAGCTTAGAAGTGCTCCTGACCTAGCATTAGTTTTTACCATTGTATTTGCTCTCTTATCGTGAAGTGACTGTGGCTTGTCCAGGATACTGTTCCAGAATTACGTATGTCCTGCTCTGGAGTTCTCCTGTGACTTACACCTGTGAATGAGTAGTCAATCCACCTCTTGGAATGGTGGTTTGGTTTCACTTTAGTGACTGACTGCCCCACGCAGCCTTTTTCTTCCCAGGAACGTTTTAAGTGCTGTATTGGATTGGCCTTGAACATGTGCCCGTCTAGACTCCACAACAGAGATACCAGATATCTTCGTTAAGCAGCTGTGAAATAATCTGCTCATAGGAGAATATTCAGTGCTGTTCAGTGCTTTTGTAAAGGAAGGGCAGGGAAATGATTTCTTTTGCACTTGAAGCTAGCAGTCCATTATTAGAAGCTCTGTAATAGATTTCGTTCTCCTAGATCATTTGTCCTTTCTTTCTCTGCCCCACCCAGCTCTTCTTTTCCCATATCTCTCATCTTCCACCAGTTCCAGTAGTACATGGCTCCTCTTCACTGCTTGTATATATTTTCACATCATTGTTTCTGTACATCTGTGTTATTCCATTCCTATTTTTGATTCTGTTGCTTCTCCCTCTCCTCCTCTTTACCAGATGCCCAGTTTTTCTTATTATTCCTTTTCTTCTTTCCTTTTGTCACCATTACTCTGATACATATCTTAGCAAGTTTTGCCATTGTTCTACAGGATCTAAAGCAAACACTGTGTAGCAGACACTGTGCCCAAGTCTGTAACTGTTTGCTGTGTTAGTAGATCACCACAGCCTTTGTGTTTTTATAAATTCATTGTTGTCTGAGCCACCTCAGGAGCTGAAATTGCTAAATGCTAGATTTCCCTGAGGGGTCTAAATGATTTGGGGGCGTTGGTAATGGAATAAGAGGTCATTAGTTCAAATCCTGATCAGTTTAGTAGCATTTGAAAGCTGTTAGTGTCTGGTGCCATGAGCATTGTGAAGTGACGGGGTGATCTCTGTGTCCTCATGGACTGGCATTTGTGTTTCCAGACCTCTCACCCATCAGCTTCCTTGCTCTGTTTTTGAGGCCTGAGAGGGAGTAACTGGTGCATTTTTGCTCTCTTTCCCTGTGGATTCTCTATCTCTGTCCCTCCTCAAAACATGAATTGTTATCTAAATAAGTAAGAGCAGCTTTTTTTTTTTTTTTTTAAATACTTTTCTCTCTGGTGTGGACTGTGTGTCTCCCTCTCTCTCAATAAAATGCTGTGGCCATCTTAGCAGCAAAGAACAGGAAGAAATAAAGCGAAGAGCAATCACTTTTCCTTCTGCTTAGAAGGGGAGAAGACTGGCCTGCTCATGAGTGCCCTTTTGGGTAGTGATGAAGGCCTGAGCACGTATAAGCTTCAGCCCCAACAATGTCTTTGGAGTAATAAGGGAAGGCAATGTTTGTACTTTATCCTAAACTTCACTCTGCGTGTCCACTTCATGCTCAAGTAAGAGTGATGGGGGAAGAATATCCAGCTGAAATTCCTGGGTTTGTCTGTCAGGACAATTTATATTTTTCTGGTTTAAAATAGTGTCTTCAGTACTTTAGATATGCTGCCTTCCTCCAGCATAAAATTTCATGCGTATTTAAAATGAATGTCAAACACAAAGATTTACATGCCACAGTCTGTGTAAAATATCATTCTTTCCAGAACTGGTTGTGTGTTCAGTAAGGTTAAATTAATCAGCACAAAGTTTGTCTTAGATCTGAGTTGAGTTTTTTTGGAGCACCAAACAATGGCCTAATCCTTTGTACAGCCGTCTATAAAGGTGCCTTTTTCACACAGGTCCCTGTTTTGCTGTGACCTTTTAGGCTTTTGGACAGTCTGTCCACTTCTTTCCATGTTGTGTGAGAGAACACTGCCTGTGTTCTCCAGTAGAAATCACTGTTTTGTTAGTAACCACAACCAACTTACTCAGACTCTACATTTAGCTCATATATTCAAAGTGTCAGATTGTCACAGGCTACTTCTCAGAAAAGGTTCAGTGGTCTCTTGGATTCCCTCCAGAAAAAGAGAGACTGGTCTCCAAGAAAACAAAACTTTAAACAAAGTTCCTGAGACCCTTGAGCGACAACACTATATATTTTTATTTAGATTGGGTACCTATAGGATCCTCTTCTAGAGGACACATCCATAGCTTTCTTAGAGGAGATAATGCAAAAGGATTTGGAATACAGGATAGAAGAGCAGACAGCAAAAGTATAGTGGGCCTTAAGGTAGATAAATCTGTGAAAGAGTAGCGGAAATTAAAATAAAGGTAATACATTTTAAATACAATTGTATTTGGGGAATATTTTGAATACCAGATTTGGAGTTTGCTTTTAACAACTTTATTACTTTTGAGCGCAATTGTAGCTATCAGCCCTGTTCTCAAGGCTGTGAATATTTGACTGTGAATATTTCAAATTAAAAATAGCTGTGGGGTTTTTTTTATGTAGAATGTCAGGCTTATGTGGATCAGAAATGAGATGGCTAAATAGTTTCATCTGCAAATGTAATCATTGTGATATGGAAGAACGACTTCATGGTATATGTTAAGTGTGAATGGCAGATGGGCTAAACCCTTGCTTCAGATTGCATATTTTAATTCTGGAATGCTCAAGGCAATTCTTGACCTTTAGAAGTAGGTAAAGCAACAGCTCTGTAGTTCATTACATGTTCACCTCTCAGTTAAATCCGAAAAGCTGAAGTTTGTATGTGTTGGTTCCCATTAAGAAAAGTGGAAGAGATGAGTATTTTCTAAGGTCTTGGGGTGAAACATCATTCTCTGGTCTTTCTTCATGTTTTGCTCCTCAGCTTCATGGCTCTGCTGGATGCTTTGGAAATACCAGTATTTATTGGAGTCTGAGGCAGTTTTTCAGTTCTGGCTTTAGTTGTATTGATAGAAAGGAACATGTTTGAAAGAGTAGCATACAGGTATGGGTGGTGTAGGTAAGCTGGAGTTTTGATTCCTTCAAGTCCTACAGAAATACTCAGTTCCAGTCTTTGAAACAGGCTGGGGAGAATTAACTGGGTTTAGAGTGTCACATTCAAGCTTGGTTTAAACTTGTGTGGCACAATCAGATGGTATCCTGTCAAAGTAGTTGTTGCTGTAACAATTTTCAATACATATTTATATACTTGTGTGCATCTAACATGACTTGTTTCTGGAGATAATTATCCTTGCTTATTTAATTTTTTTTTTAAAAATTTCCTTCTAAGGTGCCCATGAATGAGTTTAGTTTGTATTGTTCTTTGGGGAATTTAATATGAGATGTTCTGTACTATCCAACAGTACAAACATGCTCACAATAGAAGGAAGGTCACAGAGCTTCTGAAAGGCTCAATCTTTGCTATGCACCACCTATTCAAAACAATACATGTTAGAGGGCTTGAAAAAATTGATCCAACACCAATGAGCAGATGACTGAAAGTTCTCCTGGCAGCCTGATACGGGAGAGGTCTTGGAGTGGTGTTAAAACTGAGCGAGGCCCTGGTAACAACCAGCATCAACACTCAGCTTTTGGGAGAGCAAAAAGCTGTGGGACTTCTGCCAGATTAAGTTACTGAAATGTCAGCATTTGTGATCAGAACCAGGAGTATGTATCTTTGTATTTCCTTTGTAGTGCCCTTGTGTTCATGCTCTCTAGTTGCATGCATAGAGAGAATCCCTGACAGATGCTGAACAATGTACACAAAGCACTTACCAATTTTTTGTTAGCCAGTTTTAAAATCTGTGAGGTCACTTGAGATCTGTTTTCCTCAGACAGGCTGAATCCCTGGACCATTGCCTCTGCTGATCTTCCGATTTGGAATTATCTTCTTGCAATCAAATGACAAAAAGTAGTTCTAGTATTTCAAAAAAATGTCTGTGCTTCATTATTGCTATGCTTTACAAATTTCTGTGCCTACAAATCTCTGTGGATTTGACACTCAAGTGGAATTTTTCAAGACTAACTTCTAGACCTACAATTCGAATAATCACTAATCATAGTTGTAACCCATTTCAAAGGGTTTCTGTAGGCTGTGGAATGATGTGATATGATATGTGATATGATGTGGAAGTGTCTTAGAGGACTGATAATGTAAACACCATGATGTGCTACAAAAGCCATATTTTAAGTGCTTGTGTGATAACAGAAAGGGTCTGCAATTCTTTGGTTTTTTTTAATGCATACTGAGTCCTTTCTGTCCTGTTCAGTTCCTTCTATGTTGTAACTGTTTGTATCATTCCTTTTAGGATTCAGAAGGAGGTCTCTATGTGTGCATGAACACATTTCTGGGATTTGGAAGGGAACACATTGAGAGGCATTACCGGAAAACAGGACAATGTGTGTATTTGCATCTGAAACGCCATGTGATAGAGGTGAGACTTGTGGCTTCCGAGCCAACTACCCAGTAGTTCTTGGTCTCTTGTGCTCATTTGGGTGATGCATTTCAGACACAGACCAAATCCTGAATGGCAGAAATGAACACGTTCAGATTTGGGGCTGGATGTCAAATTCAGGTGCTTGGATCCCAGCCAATCCTATAACTTCAGTTCTGACATGAATCAAAAGCCCTAAAGTGTCAGATCTTAAAGGCAGCTTGTTCCTGACTTCCACTGATCTTTTTCACTGCTTGTTTCTGCATATCACATACATATTGTCTGCATATTATATTCATACTGTAGGTAGCTAAATACTTTTCTGAAACCTACCTTTGAAGTGTAGAATTACTGGGTTTGGTTCAGATCTGACTGGAAGCTTCTTTCTTAAAAGATCTACTTTTTGTTTGATGTTTCATCTCAGGGTGACAGGACTTCTTTTCATCTTAAAACTCCTGTACAGCTAAATCCTGACCTGGTCTGGGATCTTAAGTTTAGCTTAAATTAATGCTGGATTCTAGAGACACACGCTGCCCCTCCTTTAGTCTACCCCCCACACATGGGTGTGTACATACAGACTTTGTGTTCACTGTTTTCCATACTATCACTGCATATCAACAGCAACTTATAACCTTTGCTTCATAGCATGTCTGTGTGTGGGTTGTCTGACATCTTTAAAGGGCTGTTAATGACTTCTGACCTGAGCTATATGGAAGGCCCTGGGTTTGCTTATGGTCACTCTCCCATAAGCTCTGCCTGTACTGGCAAGTTAGAGGGCTTAAAATAGCTGCTTGGAGTGGGTTAGAATACTTGTTTCTCATTCTACAGCAATGTTTCCCCTGGGTGATGAAGGCCCTGAGTTACCTAAAGTGCCCAGACCATTTATCTTATTTCCAGTAGATGACTGTTCGTATTTTATTAGAATAACAGGGAGATCTTCAAGGTTGAGATTGTTCATAATGTTTGTTATACTTAAGAACTGCATTTCCTTCTAAGGGCGGTACCAACATTTTACTTCACACTGTTAACTGAGTTTTTGGACAGCCTAGTCTAGTTTTAGCAACAGTTGTTCTGACTGACTTTAACACTTCTGAAAGATGCTATCTAGAGAGAGGTGGGCAGAAATCCTGTCAGCTTTCCTACTATATAACTTCCTTCCAGAATGTTAGGGCAAACTGGGATTAAAATGAGGCCTCAAAAATTCCTTTCCTGATAAAGATTAGGCTGAAGAACACCAAAATGGAGAAAAATATCCCAGTATTTGTTTGGTGTTGCATACCCCTTCTGTTGAACTAGTTCAGTGGTTCCTGTTTTTCTCCTTGTGAATCATGATGTGGCAGAGGGGCTGGCTCTGTGTTTGAAGGTGGCAATGCACGGCTGCTCTGGGTCATGTGCTAGGAAACAGGGTTTGACTATACAGTGCAGGTGAAGATTGCATCATCTGATAGGGCTCATAGCCAGGATTCCTCATATATTAGCTGTGGATTTTTTTTTTTACCATGGCTGTTTGCTTCTTAAGTGCTATTCTTTCCTTTGGGCAACATCAGGCCTTCACTGGAGCGGTTTTATGAAGTGTCTGGCACATGCTGCATTGTGGTTTGGGTTTTTTAAGGCAAGCTTTTGATGGTGGGGGATACAGTAAAGCCAAAGGCACTGGATATGGTATGTTAAGATTCTTTCAGTGAGGCTGCTATTCTTGCCTGTGGTTCCCTTGGCATCATCCTTGTAGAATGCACTGCATTGCTGCAGAAATCCCAGTTTGCTTCCGAAGATGTTTGGAATAAGTATCAGTTGGGAATCTTGTCACAGTTCAATTAGAAAATAAGGGTCACATCTTCAGCCTGTTGGCTTAAATAGAGCTGGGGTATCTGCCAGTGGCAGATCAGCAACAGAGGCAGCTGCTGAATCATCAGAAATGTGCACAAGATGCAAGTTGTGGAGCACCCTCTGGTAAAATTCTTAGCTAAATAAAGAAAATTCTTTTTTTTTTTTCCCCGCAGAATTTCAGTTTTCAGAATTTCTCAGTCAGCCACTTTCCTGTAGTCTATGGCTTGAATACAGCTGACTGAGTAGTATTCAGTTCCAGGCACAGCTTTAGCTTGGTGCTGTAGTGATACCTCAGCCCTGTTGAAAACACTGGTAGAGAAGCATGAAGGCTCCTACAGTGATGGCTTCCTGGATGTTATTCAGGGATGGCAGGGTTATAAAAAATGTGACATTGGTGCAGTTCAAGGGAATGCAGAACAGGCTGTGCTGTTACCTTGTCCAAGAAGCATCACAAATGGAATTTAATGCCACTGCTAATGCCTCCTGTGCCCTCCCATTCACTGGGTGTGTTACATCTGTTAGAAACCAAAGTGGTTTTGTGAGTGGGGAGTGTTTTCAGTGATTTCTGACAGGTGGAGAAACAAGATAGAACTGTCAAGTTGTGGGTTTTTCAGGATGCACATTCCGATGTGTTTGGCAGTTTGGAAAATCAAACTGAAATAATTTCCAGCCTGAATTAAATATGAACACTCCATGTGAATTCTTTCTCTTTGAAATCTCTGGTCTTAATGACTTTCACAATACCCTACTTGGTGACATAAGAATTCAATTGGAACTTCCTAGTATTGCAAACAACAATCCTTGGGGTATGTTTAATTTATTCATAATATATTTGTAATTGTTGTTTCTTGCTGCTACTCTTTTAAAATAGATTTGGATTCCTGGCTACTTCCTTTCCACTTGTTAAATTCCAGTAGTATTAAGGAAAGAAAGGTTCTGCTTGTTATTTTCACTTGATTGAAGAATTTTTTTATTTTTATTTTAAATGCTGCAGTTGCAGCCCTGACTCCTTTTCCCTAGGGCTTTTATATGTGGATAATGGATTCTGTTCTTAAATGCAGCCAAGGGGCGTCTGTTGGCATCTGCTCTTTCTAAGAATGGAAAATTTTCCTATGATGTATAAGACCTCACTGATGATTCAAGCAATTTGCTCAGGCCAAAGCTTTATTTACATGGTGAAGGGAACCACCCAAAATATGTGACCCTTTTGCCTGTGAAGGAGCAGAGATGAACATGAACCTTCCCTAGGCTGACAGGTTCTTGGCTGATTTCTCTCCACCTGTTGTATCCCAGTATTATTATTAAAAAAAAAAAAAAAAAGTTGCCTGACAACCCTGCCAGTTACACTAACATTACACACTACATAATGCATCATGTTGGCATCACATAGCCACAGAGGCTTATTTGATGTAATTTGATTTATTTAATGGTGCCATTTAATAAACAGCGTAAGAAGCAAGTGCATTGACTTTGACATTTCCTCAGCTACTACTGTTTTCCATAGTAGTTTGAAGTATACTGAACTGGAAAAGTAGTGGTTGAAACTGAATCTCACTTGGAAGTTGCTGTTCTCTGCTGTGGAGCTTGAATTAAAAAAATACAATAAAATCCCAATAAACAATTGCTTGGGTGTTGTCAAGTTTCCTCCATACATAAAGAAAACATGGTGGTAATTTGGATTCATCTTGATGGAAGCAGACATGGATCCTAATGAAAAGAGCATTTTTTTCTGGGAAGAAGAAAATTAAGTGAACTAATGCATTACATCAAAGTGGTCCTACTGGAGTTGATTATGAAGGGTTGAGTCTGTGATATGCATAATAGCCTTTTCTTCTCCTGTAATTCAGCTTCAATCATTAGGAAATACTGTTGGGGATCTAGTGGTGAGAGGTTTGAGAGGTGCTGGATGTCACTGTGTTGGTGACCGGACAGCAGTCTGACCATGAGACACCCTCTGCTTAATTACTCCAAAGACAAGAGTGAAGGATTCAGGTGGAGCTTCCTCAGTCCATGAGAGTGGTGGGCAATGATGAGCTGAGTCCCAGTGCCTGATGTGAATGAAGAGAATTTAAATTCTTGCTCATCAAGGACTGTGATTTGATAGAAGGACCGTGAGCAGATAGATGTGTGTCAGAAATGGTGACGGGGTGGGGTTACTGCTGATTTACTGTTGTCTTACTTGATGGATTTTTAATTGTTTCTTTCTCTCTTTCCAGAAGGTACCAGGAGCATCTGGTGGAGCTTTACCAAAAAGGAGGAATGCTAAGCTATTTTTAGGTATTGTGAGCAGCTGCTTCCACATAGTCCTTTTCTGACCCTCTCTCTCTGTGTACTTGGGTTCTGTCCACCATTGTGTCTGCCTTTGGGGCTCCTTGTGGGTTTTCTTTTTCTGTTGTTTGGTTTTTAACTTCTGGTACTCGTTTTTAAAGTTTGTCCAGACAAATAAGTAATTCTTAGCAATTTTGGTGCATATTGAGATGTGTGTATATATACATGAAACACTTTAACCTGAAATAGGCCCTCAGCTATTCTCAAACAACCTAGGCTCTGATAACATTTTTTGACTGATTCTGTCCATTCTCTCTCTTTGTGATTTCCACAAAGCACCCTTTTATTAAAATGTTTATCTATACTTAATGTTTAGATATATCAGGGCCTCAGTGTGGCACAGTTCTGCTCAGCAGCTGGTCATAGGAAGGTTTGTTGCCATTTTAAAATTGTTACACAGGTAAATGTTCTTAAGTGATGTTATGGTCTCTCCTGTAATGAATAGAACTGTACAAGCATCTCTAATTCTGCTACATCCACATCTATATCCCCTTGCTTCATGGAAAGCAGTTTTCTTACCGTGTGCATATCATCCAAAATCCATTTATTCAGATTACCCAGAAAACCTGAGGGCCTCATAAATATGTATGAGAAGAACATGATGCAAAGCCTATATTCTTTCTTCTCCTACCATTTGTGGTATTTCTCTAATTCATGTATTATTTATTCTCTCTGTATTAATAGTGAGTAGTGAATTTTTCTTCAGGTAATGCAGAGGTTAAATGTTTTCTTTACAATTGCCAGCTCTTAGGGCTAAAGGGAAACAATAGCATGACCTTCTTTTGGAATTGCTTTGATCTGTGGAATGTGTCCCTAAGAGGCCTCTGCAGATTGTGATCGATTAAATTGTTTTTGTTAATGTCTGGAGTAAGTCTTACAAGGTCTAAGGAAGAAAAAGGTCTGAAGATGAGTCATAAAGAAATTAAACTTCTTTTGTAGGAAAAGACTGTTACATCACAGATGCTGGTCTAAATGCCATTTACTGCCAGTCTACATTGAAAATAATGATTGTCACTGAATACTTATAAAAGAATTGGTTCAAAAACAAAGCTTGCTGCAATGCAGCAATGGTTGTACAGTCTTAGCAATATAAATGTAAATATGAAGTACAAAAGTGTGGTCAGCATCTATTCTTGCTGATCTTCTGCATACGTTTGGAGGAGGCTCCTGTTGCTGGGCTGTGCCAGCACACAGGGTACTGGCATAGTCTCTGATGTGCCATGTTGAAGTCCTCAAATTCCATCCTTGCACATGAGCATTTTGTTCCCACTAAGTAGATCTGGTGCAACAGTTCCAAGTGCTCCAAGTCCCAGGGAACTTCTGAAGGCAGTGTGGTTTCACTGGGTGGATTTAGCACATGGAACTATCACCATTTAATCCAGTACTTCTGGAATCTAATGCACTTTTGAAGATTTATCTCATCTGGCCAGTTGTTCTACTTCAGTCCCTGATGACTGGGAGTAAAATGGTATCAACTCTGTGCTCTGATCCTGGAGACAGTACTTCCATGCATCCAAATGCTTTGTATCCACTTCTTTGGCTCAGCAGATTTTACTGGCCATGCTTAAAGTAAAGAACAAAGAATTACTACTCGTTCATAGCTGTGGAAACAAAAAACACAGAGAGGTCAGCTGATTTGATGATTTTGCATGTGACAGCAGCAGAGGTGATTAGCAAAATTTGGCATCTTATCTCTTAATCCAACATCTATTTCATTGGTTCAGAGCTGCTGGACTTCTCATCTGAACAGGTTGTTTTACTTCTGTCTTTCTCATTGGGTCCTTGGGCACGTGTCACAGAAAGGTTGGGGTTGGAAGGGAGCTCTGTAGATCATCTAGTTCATTCCCCTGCTAGAGCAGCTTGCACATGATCCAGTCCAGGGGTGTTTTTAATATCTCCAGAGAAGGACACTCCACAGCCTCTCTGGGCAGCCCGTTCCAGTGCTTTGTCACCCTCAAAGTAAAGTTTTTTCTCATATTCAGATGGAACTTCCCATGTTTCAGTTTGTACCTGTCGTGCCTTCACTGGATACCACTGAAGAGAATCTGGCCCCATCCTCTTGACGTTAAGATAATTGTATGCATTGATAAGATCCCCTCTCAGTCTCTTTTTCAGACTGAACAGGTCTAACCCTCTCCTCTTTTACTCATAAAAGAGATGCTTCACCCTCCTAATCATCTTTGTAACCCTCCAGTGGACCCTCTCCAGTAGTTCCTTGTCTTTCTTGGACTGGGAAGCCCAGAACTGGACACAGTACTCCAGGTGCTGCCTCACCAGGGCAGAGTAGAGGGGGAGGATGATCTCCCTGCATCTGCTGGCCACACTCTTCTTAATGCCCCCCAGGACTGGCCTTCCCCATTGTCTTCTTAGAGGACACAAGGGCACGTTGCTGGCTCATGGTTAACTTGTCCTGTGGCAGAGATTTACACCAAACTGGCTGCTACCAGCCCAGGTGTGTAACCTGCCATCTGGGGCTCACCCTGTCAGACAAAAAACAGACAATGATCAGGGGGTCACTCTAACATTCCTGTGTTTCTAGGTGTCTTTGAATAATTCCCTGAAGGCCCAGAGATTTAAGCTTTGTGTACAAAGTCAATCCAGTTTGGGCATTTGTTACATTGCTTGTTGTAATCCTCTTTGATGTAAAACTATTAAAGATACTAAACCCTTTTCAATCTCCTTAGTATTAGGAAAACATCTTTTGGGTGTTCTGATTACTTTCTAGCACTGCTGCTATCTAGTAAATGCAATAGAAACACAGACTGGTTGGGTCAGTCAGCTGGAAGATTTATCTTTCCCGAAACATGAGAAGGTTCATAGGAAAGTGTTTGTGCACGTGCACTGCCTTAGGTTTGGGGCACGTTTTGGTTTGGTTTTCTTTTGGAGAAGGCTGGAGGGTGTTGGCTGTGAGTGTTCTATGTAATCAGGAAGCATAACAGTGTTGTTTATTGAAATGTATGGACTGCCTTTAACCTGGCTGGTTTAGGTGTTGCTGGACAGTGTGGACATGATAACTTCAGCTCAGGCTGTGCAACCTTTCAGGGGATTTGTGGTGATATTTAAAGCAGACTGTCAGGATGCATGGAATAGTATCCTCACTGCATTGTTATCTAGGTGAGCAAGTTTGGAGGTATTTTGTGCTTGTCAATATCTGTGGCTGTATAAAACTAAGTTTTAGATCCAGTCCGTAAAATGGAAATAAATTAATTTATGGGACAAGGTAGTAGCTCCCCATGACTTCATATGGCTCTCAGATTAGAAATAGCTGCAACCTTCTGTTTAAACCAGCCACTCTATGGTAAATATGATGCCAGTTTGGGAAAAGGAAGACATGATGGGACCAGGAAAAGTATAATCTCTAAATTTAATTTTCATATTAGCCCATAGAGAGTGGTATAAATACAACAGAACAGAACCATTGTGGATTTTCTGAAGTGAAGTTTTTATTCAAAGTCCAGAATACTCTGGAACTATGTGTAATAGTCCCCATACATATTCATTGACTTATGTGTGAATGAGAAAACCTCAATTAACAGGATGTACTACGATCTTCCATACAAGCTCTTGGTCAAAAGGGGTATGAAATAAGAGGGAAGATTCTTGTACTGAAGGGATTGGAGGCACAGTTCTTACCATAGAGTTACCAGCAGAGTCCCCCTGGACTTGTTACTCTAAGGAGTTAGCAGCAGAGTCCTTCATAATGTCCTAATTATAAAGAATTAGTGTGATCATAAATGATCTGGAAAGGGATTCAAAGATGAAGAAATGGAGTTTGCTGGTTGATTTAAAATTATCTAAGAGACTAAATCTAGAAGTGACTTTTAGTGTGTTGCTGAGTAATGAAACAACAGATGAAGTAAATGTTGAAAAACACAAAGAAAACTAAGTTCTTTAACTGTGTGCACAGGGATGAGGTCGAAGTTACTTGTCACTGTTCAGAGAGAGAGGTGGGGTGAATGGTTCTCTAAAATGTCAGCTTGGTTGTGAAAGAGTCAAGTGGAACATCAGTAGATCAACTTTTTATATTTTGTTCTCTATAATTTTGCTTTATAAATAGGAAGTGAACCTCTCTTTTGAATAGAGAAACTACATCTGCACACAGTATCTCCCCCTGCTTCTCTTTGTCCAAAACCAACCAGAAAACACACACACACACCCCCTACCCACCCCGGGTAGATATCTGGAAGCTAGGAGGTATGCATTGAGGGAAGAATCACCACATTTTTGCCTTGTTCTGGTACCCACTTCCTGACATCTTTTGGTCCATGCAGAGCCTGGACCCTGGGCTAAACAGAGCTGGCACAGTGGCTGTCATAAAACTTGTCTGTAAACAGATGTCCTCTCCCAGATCAGTTACCAGAGCATTATCTGCCAGTGCAGCAAGTTGTGGGAGCTCTGTTTTGAGCAAAGTCAGGGCTTAGACCATCAATTAAAAGTGTTTTGAAGTCCTCAGATGAACAGCTCTGTCAGCAGATCTGTGGGGGTGCTGGTGAGAAGAGTGTCAGTGAGGAGCAGTATCCGTGACACACAGCTGGTCTCAGAAGGTCTCAGAAAGGAAGACAAAACTTCCACTTAGAGAGTCTGGGAGAACTTGTAAACTTCCTGAGCTTTTCCTAGATGGCACCTGCCTGCCAATGGCAGGGAATGCACTCATGGCTGCTGTTTCTAAGTGTAAAGACCATTCCTAAGAGTGGCTGTACTGGATCTGACCACAGCCTCACTTAGTTCTCCCAGGCCAGGAGCAGAACCCTGTTTTCAGTGAGGATGCTTTTGTTTGGTGAGCTTCTGAAGAGAACTTTTACCATGAGTGGTTTAAATTCATATTTATGTAAGTAAGCGTATGTAGAGTATGTATCTATGAGTGAAAAACTGTGATGTAGGAGAATTTGGGCATTTCCTGACAATATTTTGACAGTTTAGCCCAGTAAAGTTGTGCATACTCCCCAGCAGTAGTAGTGGAATGGGTTAGACCAAGAGTGACCCTGTTGCTTTCTGGCTTTGCCATCTAAGCTTGAATTAAGTATAGAATGGTAAGCAGATACCTTACACTAATAGAGTCTTAATGGTTTGCTGGTTTAGTTAAAACTGTGAAAATTAGGCTAGATTAACACAGGCTAATGCTGCTATCAAAATAGTTGAGAATTTGAATTTTGGTGGTTTAGTTTTGCTTGTTTAACATGTGACTGTGCCAGAAATACAAGGGGTGATGTCTAACCTAGCAGAACAGCCTACTAATGCTTTGGAGATGTAGCAAGCAATTTGAATGCTATTTTATAAATAGTGAATCATCCAAACGATCCTAGTAGGAAGTTTTACTTTTCTTTTTTCTGGAAAGGAAAATGTTATGACTGTAAAGTGATTTTTTTTTTAATTTTTTCTTTTTTTATAGTTCTTCTGATGAGGTCAGGGTTTTGAATGTGCCCGAAGATAAATGAACTGAATAGCTTATATTTTGCAAAGTGCTGCTGCTGCAATTCACTGTTTTTTAGAGGCTTCAGGAAGAAATTATTTGGATTGAAGACTCAAGCCTCCACTTCCAAGTCCATGCAAATTTGTTCATTGCTTTCAGTGAGAACAGGATCAAGCCCAGATTCCCAAGATGTCTTTCTCGGGTTTCAAAATTGGTTGTAGCCTCGCTAGTCAACATCCTCACTCAATTTTCATGTTTGTATTCCCTTTCACACACACAGACACATCCATTTGCGCAGGAAATCCTGTTTGGGGGTCCTGTCTGGAGTCTCCTTATGCCACTATTATTAGTGCAGTCAGTTGGTAACTTGTCTAAATCTGATCTGGGCACATCCACTCCTTTTCTTCCCCTCTGCTGGGTTGGTTTACATTACAGTACTCTGTCTTCCAGCTGCTGTTTTCAGTCAGCTCAGCTGCAATGCTTTTCTCACCGTCACTAAGTGATGCCTCTGAGGTGGAGTAAATTTACTCTACTGACCACTGGCCCAAAATAACAACGTCAGTTGAACCTCTGTTTTAACATGTCTGTTACTTTGCTTTGCCTGTCGTCCTGGCCTCCCAACACAACATTTATGACCTATGGATACTTTGTTTTAGTGGCTGCAATGTGTAACTGGGACTGTTAGTCCACTAGCAGGGAAATAATGGCATGTGGACAATTGCCATCAAGCTGTCACTCTTTGAAAAGATTCCAGACTGATTGGTTCTCTTGTGGCTAAGTCCTAGAATTGAGTAAAGCTTTTTTTTTTGCCCGGAGATCTCTCACACTGCATCTTGAAAGAACATCTTTGTCCAAGAAACAACTTTGGATGAAGTATAGTTCTTGAAACTTGATGTTTTTCAGTGCCTTCAGAGTAATTTTTAATCAAATATGCTCCATTTGCAAATAGATTGCATACTACTCCTCTTTCCTATAGTTAAGTTACTCTTATTCCTCTCTCAAATTCTGCACTAGTTTGAAACTGCCTGCAGACTGTACGTGATGCCCAATGGCTGCAGGGTAAACCTCTGCCCTCATTTAGTGTGGGCTCCATTGCCTTCAAAGTAACAGGCATCTGTTTTTATTATATCTGTCCTCATTCTTTCTCAGCCATGTTGGCCCTTGCACAGGCACAGAAAATATAATGCAGGTAGAAATTTCTACTGAACTTAACAACAAAGATTTAAAAATATGAGTAGTGATTTGGGGGTTTCCAACTAAAATCCTTTAGGGGTCTCTCTGACAGTCAGCCAAAGGGATTAGCTTATATGGTCATCTGCTGTATCAAGAGATTTCAGTCAGTGACCTTAGAAGTCCTTTCCACTCTCATGTAGTGGGGTCTGAACCCTGAGAAACTCTTCAGACTGATAATTACCAGAAGTCACTGGCAGTCCCTTTTAATTCCTAGTCCGAGGGAGTAGGTGTGTGGATGGAAGTGTACCAGCTTTACATGGTCACCTTCAAAAGCCAGTTAAATCCTCATTGTGTTTCCTGGGACTGTTATGAAGCTCTATGTCTCCTTCTTTAAAACAAGGCATGTGATGCTGCCAAACTGGAGTGTCAGATATCCAGAGTTCCATGCTGATGGGACACTGTTTTCTGCTTTTCTGCTAACGTGAATGGTACGAAGCCTGAGAAGGTAAAAAGGAACTTCCTTTCCCTACCCATTGCACGCAGAAGGCTGATGCTCCCAAGCATGCGAAGTCCTTAGGTGGCAGCAGATGATTGCTAATAGGATACTCAGTCTTTCATCCCTGGATCACTGGTTCAAATGCAGGTCAGGTCAGCAGCAGAAAAGTCTCTGCTCCCTGGCTGTCGTGAGATGAGCTGCAGTGCGTGCCTGAATTTTGAACACAGGCAGCAGTGTCGTTGCTGTTTCTATACAGCAGATTGTAGATAATATAAACTCAGTGTCAGTATCTCAAGGAAATGAAGATACCGGCGGGTCCTACATATGTCCACAGATCCCAGCAGTGAGCTGGCACCAGGTTCCCTCTGGTGGCTGAGACAGTGTGTGACTGCAGCCCTGGAAGAGGCATTTGCTGCCTCCAAGCCTGGCTGAACACACACTGAGCTTTTATCCTCTGTCCTGTTTAGGAGATGGTCAGTACTTTTAGTTTTGCTATACTGGCCACCACCAAATATCTGGGCATTATGTGACAATTCTCTGTGACGTGTTACCATGTGTATCATGGGCTTGGAGATACTAATTTTCTTTGCTTCATAGAGCAAAAGAGCAGTTACAGATTGCATCTGTGGAGATTGGCTTATTTGTCAGACACAGGGCTCTAATACAACCTGGGAAAGAAGCCTGGAGTAAAGTGAGGTTTCTGGTCATATCTATTATGCTTCAGTAAGAGAGGGGCTCATTATGAAAATAGTGTGATTTGGGGAATTAGTAATGAATTAATATTTCCTATATAAATGTCATGCTTTCAGCATGACAGAAAGTTCTTGCTTTTGTGTCTATATTGAGCTGATGAGAAGGGGCTTTTGTTGGTTGCTGCTGAGAGAGAGAGAGGTCATGTTGCTGGAAGTCATTGACAGGGGATGTTGTCACCCCTCAGGACTGGCTGGTGCAGCAGGTGAGCCAAGAATCGATGTTCCTCTCAAGAGGTCAAGTTAAAATATCTTTTGATACTCATTTTATCATTAGAGTTGTTCAGTCTGTTGCTGCCCTCTGGGTAAATAGAGAGCTTAATTTTCTGTGTCTGGCTTCTGTCATTCTCACCTCTCTCAAACATACAGTTGAGATTTCAGGCATTCAGGGGTGCAGTGGTTGCTGCCAGTGCTCATTTAGTATTGAGGGACTCATCAAGCATATGCATGTTCTTGGAATGAAAATAAGAGCCAACTTTGGCTACTGCTAATGTGTCTCATTTTTGGTTGAGCTTTATTCTGTCAGTGACTGTCTGATACATCAGAATACAGTAGATCCCGCATCTCCAGATGGGAGAAGGATCCAGAAGATCCCATCGTTACCTGGCATATTCTTGCAATTGAATTTTGTGAAATGTCTGACACAATGTGTACATGTTTGGTCTAAACTTTTTCAGTTGTCCCGGAAAGAACTGAGCAAGATTTTAACTCAGTCTTGTCACTAGGAGATAATTATGTTAACTAATAATTATACGTTTTCATGAAGATGGAGGTGCAAACACTATCTATTTAGTTCCCTCCAGGCTTTTCTCTGGGTCCATATATTTCTGGACAAGCATTGTAGCTGATGTTGCATGATCAAAGCTCGTATTTAAGCAAAAAAATAATTCTTACAGTGGAAGAATGTACACAAACACTGTGAAAGGCTTGATCTTCAAAAGAAAGCTTTAGTAGTTAATGCATGCTTTTTAAACTAATAGTTACAGTGGCTAAGGAATCGAGAGGGATAATGTTAGTGTAACTGTACTTGCTGTAGCTATTTGAGACTGTGGATAAGATGCAGGAATACTTCCAGACAGGGACATCTTCATGGCAGGAAAGGACACAGGTTCAAGATGGATGAGAGCCATAGCACGTTTCAGCCAGGTCTGTGATCTGGAAAATACGAGGTGCTCTTTTTATTTATGCTCTGCAATTTGGGCATGTGTAGTGTGCCCTGGTCTCCATATTGTAGAGCATTTCAAGATCCTGGGTGAAAGGCACACCCTGATTTTTGTCCAAAATGAGCAGAATTCTGTTATCTGCTTTGCAGAATGTGATGTCTGCAACAGGGCAGTGCTTGGAGAGGAGACAAAACAACTGTGTCTGTGACTGGGGATGACATTAAGTGGAAGTTTTGGTCCTCAGTAGTCTTCATGCAGGATGGTCAGATTTCAGTTCAGACCAGGATTTCACAAACATTTCTAGCCAGAAGATACTACTGACAGTGTCAACATGCAGGCTGATGCCAGGCAAGCAGTGCTTATAGTGGTACCCCGCCACAATTTCGGAACCTTGATCGCAGGACAGTCTCCTAACATTCCCCATCTTGTTTTCCAGATCTAGAGACAAACAGTGATCTCAACAGTGAGGACTTTGAATATGAAGATGAAGCAAAACTTGTTATATTTCCTGATCACTATGAAATCTCATTACCCAACATAGAAGAGTTACCAGCACTGGTCAGTGAGTGTGTGAAAGTGGCCATAGGAATTGTCTGTTTCTGTTTTTGCTGAGGTGATGCTTTGTTTTCTTATGTGTGGTGCTTGTTTGGACATAAAGATCTTTCTTAACCAGCTGTGTGTCAGTCATTTTTATAAGTTGTCTTTATTTCTTGGATTTCCTTTACCTCCTGTATTCCTTTCCTTATGGTGCCAGCTTGTCCTGGGAAAGCTCACATTGTACATGTGCTTACTCTCCTGCTAAAATAATAACAGCACTCTAAAAGATTAGATGCATATTTGAGTGTATAAATAGTCTTACTGATAAGCAGTTCTCTGTGTGGCTAGCAATAGGCTGAATGCCAAGTTCTGTCCAGTCACTGAACCGTGTTAGGTTTTGATTGACATACATTTGTCTTCCAGGTGACGATAGCTTGTGATGCACTCCTCAGTGCAAAATCACCCTACAGGAAGCAGGAACCTGACTCCTGGGAAGAAGAACTACAGGCATCTAAACACGCCAAAACACTTGTACAGTTAGACAATGGTGTTAGGATTCCCCCCAGGTGAGGGTGATAAGGTTTGTTCCTTGTAGGCTCTCGAATCCAGTCCAGGGTAACTGAACCAAAGCCAGGAACTCGGCCCACAATTCCCTTGCATGACTCCGGGCTGGGTGTGTGGGTTGGTTTGACCTGCCATAATGGGAAACACAGGACTGATTCCTGCCTTACATATTTCTATTCTTTCTTCCTGTTTCCTCTTGCAGTGGTTGGAAATGCTCAAAGTGTGACCTGCGGGAGAATCTGTGGCTGAACCTGACAGATGGTTCTGTGCTGTGTGGGAAGTGGTTCTTCGATGGCAGTGGGGGCAACGGGCACGCCATGGAGCACTACAAGGAGACGGGTTATCCCCTGGCAGTGAAGTTGGGAACCATCACTCCTGATGGAGCAGGTCTGTGGCATGTTCTGACATGAGGTATCTGTTGTGCATGAGGCTAACAGTATATATCTATTACCAAGTGGGTTTGTGCTTCTAGTGCAAACGTTTGAGAGTGTGATATGAAAGGACATCCTGTAAGTCTGTGGATCTTGGGATTGGTGGGAACATCACACACTCCATTCAGAGAAAGCCCATACCTGTTTTATCTACTCTTCTTTTCCTGTTTTATATTTTGTGAAAATATTTTTCTTTTAATTTGTGTAATAGTAGACTTATGATAGAAAAATTGTATTATTTTGAAACAACAGAGTCTGGAGAAACAGTATTAGAAACAGTTTTTAGTTCTGCTACATTTACTAGGGCAAATGGTTCAAACTTCTGTAACAAAGAAACAAAAACAGGGTAATGAGTTTCTAAATTCAGAAAAGTCTGCTTGTAACAGCATGTTTGGGTTTTTTTAATTATACATGGAAACTGCTCTTTTTCCTTATTGAACAAAATGTTGCTGAAACAGTCTAATGAACGCTCATCTTCACGGGGCTGCTGAGATGCTCAATTGTAAAATGCCTCATGATCTTGAGAGAGGAAAAAAACTATAGTTGTATCCTTGCCTGCATATTCTCCACGTGTGGTGTTATGCAGTGTTGCTGCAGAGGGGATTATGGCATGTGAGGATTAGATGGAATAAAAATGTGAGAAGCTGAAAAAGTCATAAGCGAAGAGATCTTTTGCTGCAGCTGTATGGAGAAGTAAAAATGGAAGAACACATAGCATGATTATATTTTGATTTTAGTCCTCATGACTACAGGGATGAAAAATAGCTCTTTAAAGCAGCCCCTTTTTTTAAGAAGCATCAGTTCAGAGTTTTTCTGAGTTTTATTCAGTGCCAGGGAAAGGAGACTGTAGTCAGATTCAACCAGCTGTGTCAGAGAAATATTAAACAAAATTCATTCTTTTATCTCCCAGATGGAATATTATTTCCTTGCATGTGCCTGGTCTTGGATGATTTGTATCCAAATCTCAGTTATTGAGGGTGTTTAGGATTTGCCCAGCTGTAGGTTTCAACTGCATCTACAAAAGAAACAGGGTATTCTTTAGTGGTTTTTTTCAGGTTTTTTTTTTCTCCTCTTTTCTTTCTCATCTTTAGCAGCAATACTTGTTTCCTTATGGCTGCTGTCCTTGTGCCTCCCACTGATCAGCTACTTCCTCTTATGTGGCCTTTGGGATAACAAAGGACAGGCTGTCATCCTTCCCTCTGAATGAGAGGCACCAGCTGTTCTCCACAGACCTTTGTTCTTCTGGGTGATGTTTACTTGGTTTCCATACAGAAAAGACTTCCCTCCCCCAGCCTTCCCTGTTTCCTTTTCAGCACATATTCTATCTGTGAGCTGTATTTCTGTGTTACTCATAACCCTGGGTAGGGCTGGGTGACAGACGAGCTTCAGGAAAGAGGCTTCGTGGTTGATTGTGACACAGAGTCTGTCTGTTTTCTGCTTCCCTGGGCTAGAGGTGAAGAGGTGATGGTAGAAGAGTAATAAGCATTATTCCCTCTCCTGACACAAATTGTTCCTTTTTCACACCGGTAGGAAAGAGAAAGAGGTGATGCCTCTGCCTGTACACAGAGGAGAGCTCTTTGTCTTGCCCTGAGAAGTCTGTGCTGTGCACATTATGAAGGATTTCTGAGGCAGTAGCCCCTTTTTGTAAAATTCTGTCAACAAACACACCTGGGATCAGGGCAGAAACTGAACCAAACTTCTCTCTTCTGCTGTTGTACCTTGGACAGGATGCACCAGAGAGTCAGACAAGTTGGTTGCCTCAGTAGGTTGAGCACCACTGGGCAGACTGTGCTACCTGCTGCCTCTCTTGGCAGTGCCATTAGATTTCATTTCAAGTTACTGTGAGGGTGCTTGTTTGGAAATAGATTAAGGCATGGAAAGGGGAATTGGCAGGGGGAAGGCCTATGTACCTATGTGGCAGGTACTTGAATAAGTTCCTTTGTGGATGCTAATCTCAGCAATTGTCAGATACTTTTTGGGGGATCCTGAGCAACTTGTTTCTTCAGGAACAGTGTTGACATTGCCTGTTACTGGTTAAGTAGGAAGGATTGATGTCTTCACAACCAGAACAGGTGTAAATCTTGAGCTGTCAAGGAAAAGGAAGTACAGTAGCATTGTGATTTTTCTTTTCTTACAATAATAGTAATCATAATGATTATTTTCTGTTTAATAATATTCTGTGTTAGCTGTCTCAGATTTGTCTTGGTGGGATTTTTTTTCCCTTTTTCCTCTTTCTCATTCTAATGATACCAGCTTTTTGTGTGTCACATTTGCTGATTTGTCTACATTCCTCATCTACTAAAGTCTGTATGACAGCACTGCAGACCTCTGTTTGGTGACTCTAATCTTCTTTCCTTGATTTCTTGAAAAGTGAATTATATCTTTCTCCCATGAAATTAAGTTACACAGCAGAAAGTACTAAAGGATATGACTCAAGCTGGGCTTGAGCAAAAGATTAGTCATGTGTTCCATTTCTGCTACTTTGGGTCAGTAGTCCCAGAGGACTGCTCCCTGCAGTTGTCAGAGCAGAGAGAAAACAATATCAAAGCTTCCATATAGAAAGCAGTCACCCAAGTTCAGTTGCTGTGTAATCTCACTCCATTAGGTGTTTGAACTTTTGGCTGTGCTGTGACCTCACCAGAATACTATGGGAATGTTGTGATGTCTTGTGTGTGGATGAACAGTCATGTTTTCTGGGCACGTTTGCTACCACACAGTGGAATTCCAGCAGATGGGCATCTACAGCCACACACATGCCGGGAAGGTCATTGGGACTAACATTATTAGAGTGTCTGGTGGCTAGAGAGTATTAATGTTTGCAAGTATTAATAGTTTGAAAGTATAGATAGTTTGAGAGTATTAATGTTTTTCATAAGACTGGTCAATGTTAAAAGTTACATAATGTCTTTGAGTTCTTGGCTAACCTTCAGTCTATCGTTTCAGTGTGGGTTGGGTACTAGCAAACTTCAGTGAGACTGCCTTTTGTGAAAGCCTTACATAGGGGATGAGCTGAGTCTGTAGCTGCCAGACAGGCCAGGGTAAGGACCTTTCAGAAGTGATATTTGTGCTGTGAGCAGACTTTATCTGGGTTCCTGATGGCATCTCCTGAGTTTGTTTCATCTTTCCCCTGGCTAAGTTTTCTCTGTCAGCCTAGATCTGGCATTGTGGAGCAAGGTCACTGTGAGAAACTCTGCCAGGCATGAAGGAAGCTTGCCTCAGAGAAATGCAGGCAGACTGGCAGAGGAATTCTGGATTTTGGTATGAGGAGGGACCAAAGCAGTGAAGTAGTTATTTACTAGAGAAGAAGAGACCTGAGAAAAGATGAAAGACCTGGTCAAGTCTTACTAGTGTTTGTTTTACACTCCAATTTCTTTATGACTCCTGAAGCTTTATCGTTATTTGCTCAAGTAGGTGAAACCTGCTCTGATTTCAGCATCATCATAAGACTTATTTGGTAAATACTAAAAAAAGGATTTTTCTCTCAACTCTTTTGTCCTTCTGTTGAATTTATTAAACTTGGTTTCATATTGAAAATATCATCATTATATGTGTTGCTTCCCTTGAGAGTGTGAACTGTGCCTTGCCAGAATGTTTGTGAGCTTTTACTTAAGGCCTTAAGGAGCTATCTTAGAGCTAGAACTGAAATCCAGACCTCCCATACAATTAAACAAGACACCTCACTCATAAAATCATTCTTTCTCCTTAACTGCAAGATTTGATTAATCTTCAAAGTCCAATTCAGTGAAGTCCATTCCAAAAAAAGTCCTCTTTATTTCTAATAAAGAATTTCTCTGTTCTCCCTGCATCTCTGTGGGAAAAGAGCATAAGTGGATTTCTTAAACTGTACTAGAAATTAAAATACCATTGGCGTAGTCAGTTGGCCTGAAATACTCACATTTTTAGTGTGTCTGCTTGTATCTGGCAGCTCTACAAAAATTCAGAATCTCTCGTTGTCATGTTCAAAATGTGGACTGGCCACATATCTGAGAACTTTGCACACTTTGTTCCTTGTTTTGCCTACAAATTTCTTTTTTTGGGGGAGGGGAAATACTATGATCACTACTATTTTTAAGTTTTAACACTGTGAAAGTATGTAATTGCTTTTGAGGAGAGCACTTGAGGTGATTGTGTTGAGAGCATTTAAGATACATACTTAGCTATATGGTTGTCTGTGCACTTTTCTGCTGGCCGTAACCAAACCTGGATAATATGAACAAGGCAACTTATATAGGCAGCCCTGTGGTAAACAAAGAGAAGGGGATATTATTTGAACCTTTGGTTTCTCTCTACTTTTGTAGATGTCTATTCCTTTGATGAAGAGGAGCCGGTTTTAGATCCGCACATAGCAAAACATTTGGCACACTTTGGGATTGATATGCTGCAGATGCAAGTGGTAGGAAATCCATCTTTTATTTGGTTTGTTGTTTACTTGCTTGTCCAGTTGGGGGTGGGAGAGAAAGAGGAGAAGAATGGCAGTTGTAGCTTATTTGTGTGGTTCCTTCAGTGTTATAGTACTGAGTTTTGTAAAATTCAGCCAGCCAGTTTGTGTTTTATTGTCTGACATCTGAGGGAATCTTTGCTCTCAAATCCAAAAGGTTCCTTCCCAAAGAGGTCTTTGTGTTCTCTAGTTTACATTTTTCACTTCTCCTGAAGGAAAGCCTGTTGCATGTGTAAACAGATACAAGTCTTAAGCAAAAAGAAGCTAAGCAATGGATAAGTTAAAAAGTGGCTGAAATTTCAGTTTAGGTTTTTTTAAGAAATGCATTAAAAATGAAATAAGACATTCAAGTCTAGAAAACAGTGTGGTCGTCTAGGGTGTGATATAGTAGACATGGACTGGGGCAAAAAGGGTCCTGTTCCTGAACATGTGTTTGTGTCTATTAGTAAAGAAGTACTTCCAATAATTTGTATCTTAGTGGATGTTGATTTCAGTTCTGTTTAAATTATGTAAGAAGACAGAACAGGATATGGTTATAAAGGCAGGTGGGGATTTTGTTGTTGTGTTGGGGGTTTTGTGGTTTGTTTGTTTGCTTTTTTTCTCTCAAGCACATAACCTAGTATCACTACCTGAGAACCTGAACTGCTAAAAATGCACAAACCTGATACCGGCTTAGTGTATTTCATTGTCCAAGTGGTGAGAAAACTAACTATAACTGAAATGATAGAGAATAGTTACACTTCAGTTTCAAAAGCCTTTGTGGTACTAATATTTTTGGTGTACTAATGTCCTTGCCAATATAATGAATAATAAGTTTCTTTTATTCAGTGATCTTTCTGGAAAACCTGTTTTACTCAGCAGCCTCGAAAACTTAGTGTCAGCTGTTGCAAAGGTTTTGCCTCCAGTCTGAACCATTCTTAGAGAAGTGACACAGTAGTGCCAGCAGTGAATGACACTGCAGTGACCTGTACCTACAGGCTGAAGGCTGAGCTGTAAAGGAGAGAAATCTCAGTGCCAAAAATTTGGGCTTTTCCCATTTGAAAGAAGGGAAGAGTTCTTGGATCTGCAGCTTTTCACGTAGTTTGTTGGTAGGACCAGCTCCTACACCAGCAGCTATTCCTGGCCATTACAAGTGGAGTAGAATATCTGAAAAGAAAGCTGCGTTCGATGCTGAGGCTTGAGGTCACAGCCCTGAGAGAAGTGAAACCCCCAGCTGAGATTGAGGTCACAACTGGGAACAGTCGAAGAGCCAGTGGTCTGTGGTAAAGAGCTGAGAGGTGTATTGGAGGAATAAGCTGCCAGCTTTCCGACCCTCATCTTCTCTCTTACATGCAGCATTTACCTCCCTTTGCCCATTAATGTGGCTTTTCCTTTTTTTGCAGTATAGATCACAAAGTTGTTGGTGATGATGGCAGTAACATAATTGTTGCAGAAGTTAAACACGTTAAAAAGAAAATCTTATTGCTTTCAGACAGAGAACGGGCTGAGAGATAATGATATAAAGCCAAGAGTCTCAGAATGGGAAGTGATTCAGGAAGCTGGCGTGAAACTCAAGCCCATGTATGGCCCAGGATACACTGGCATAAAGAACCTGGGAAATAGCTGCTACCTCAATGCTGTCATGCAAGCCATTTTCAGCATCCCAGAGTTCCAGCGAGCGTAAGTAGCTTCACACCAGTTCTTGTCACTAGCTGCTGCATTGCTCAATGTGTTGTTTCTCTAAGAAAAATAAAAATGGTATTTTAATTTTTGTCTCCCCTGCAAACAGACGTCTTTCAGTCAGTTCAGTGGCTGCTTAGAGGATTAGAAAAGGTTGGAACACAAAACCCAATCTGCCTTTGAAACCAGAACTTACTGACTTAAGTGGTGGGAAATCATATGCCACCTTGTAAATTTGATGTCTCTGTCTCTGCTGTTTATATACATATGCACATATCTCTGTTTATCTTGGTATCATCAGTATCACATTAGGGGTTTTGTCCTGGTCCATGCCTTTGTACCACTGCAGGAGACATTCTGTTGATCCAGTGTGATTTGTTCAAAAAACTGGCACAAACATGTTAATGTTGATCCATTCCAGTGGAAGACAATGCACCTGTTGCATGCAGGCCTGGCTAAGGAGGGAAACTATCAGAGGTATATTTTAATTAAAATTTAAAAAATCATAAAAAGGGTAGTGTAAGCCTATTCTTCCACTGAATAATTAAGGGGAAAAAAGCACAATAGAAGAATATGAAATACTCTTAGTGATCAAAACTGAACACATCACTCCAAGGAGAGAAGCCTTTTTATAAAGGACAGTCTGTGGTTTGAAATAAAATTCAGAGTTCCCTTTCATTCCACAGCACCAGTAGTGTATGTGCTGGAAATAAATCTTTTAGATTTTGGAAAGCCTGCCAGATTTTCGTGTTAGAATTACCTTCTGGAGAAGAAGAGGGAGAAAACTTGTGTCTGCTTACTTTGTTAGCCATATGTAGTACAGTCTGTAGATTCATTAAGTTCCAGCTCTTCTACCTCCATTGCTGAAAAATATCAAAATAGATTTTATCGAGGAAGGTAATTTTCCACGGCGTGGTCCTTGGAGTTACCTGGAGCACTTAGTGTCAACAAAGTAGTGGAGATCTTTGGAAGAGGGACCAGGCAGAAATCAGATGTATTCTTCCAATATGGCCACATCTACCTAGCCTGCTTTTATTTGTGCTCAGAGAGCGTGCTGCTGAATGCTTCCAACAGATTGGCTAGAACTATGTATGTTCTGGTGTCAGAATGGTTCCTCTGAAGAATCTCAGTAGAAACACTCTTTTTACATGGTCCTGATACAAATTTGAATTTATTTGCTTGTGTTGGTTAGGAGTAGAAAGTACTTTGATTCTCAACTCAGCTCTGTGGTTTTGGGCAACACCATTGTGCAGCTATTTCAAGATCAAGGAATAGAATTTAAATTCCTTTATATCTAGAAGTTTCTAAGTAAGACCTCAACATCTGTTTCCTAATTTCTTTACTATTATTTTTGCATGATAGAAGCACTCACCAAGGATAGATTGACTCATTAAGCTGCAGTATTTGAACGTTTCTCCTTTGTTCTTGCTGCCCAGGTATGTGGGAAACCTTCCGCGAATATTTGACTACTCTCCTCTTGATCCAACACAAGATTTCAACACTCAGATGTAAGTTTTCTCAGTTATTTACTTGGTCAACTTAAGTAGAATCTAAATAACTTAATGGCAGGGCAAAAGAACACCTTTTCATGGGCTTGAAAGTGAGATATGACACAAGGTAGAAGGAAAGATTTGCCCACTTAGTTGCAGGTAATGATGTTCCGTTTCAAAAGCAGTAAACTTCGTTTTTGCTTGAAAAAAAAGTCTTCTATTCTTTTCTGGTTTTCTCACGTTTGTTTCCACCCCACCTTCTTCCTTACAGGGCTAAACTGGGACATGGCCTCCTTTCAGGCCAATACTCTAAGCCACCCATGAAATCTGAGCTTATTGAGCAGGTGATGAAAGAAGAACACAAGGTATTTGCCTGAGTTTGTACAGCCTGGTAACTAGGTAAAAGTGATATCCTGAGAAAAGGGAACAGGTGCTGGGCATTGAAGAACATGTGTGGGTCCAGCATGGATGGGATGCTTAGCAAGGTGGAATGTGCAGGATACCAGTCAGGGATATATTAGTCAGGCTCTATTTGTGCAGCACATTAAAGGAAGCATTGGTTCTGCTAATAAAGTATTCTGCTGCTCCAGTGATGAGTGCAAATGTTCATAGAATTGGCAACCAATGTTTATCTTCTCTGAGGAGCAAAAGAAATCCAGAGAGTCCTGCGTATTTGGAAGCAAGCTTATAAATCCTCTGTAAATTACAGAAAGAAGTATAAAGAGCTAAAGAATTCTTTCCAGGAAGGGTCTGACAATATTCCACCTGATTTCTAGAGAAGCTGCCTAGGATAACGCAAGATTAAGTGGTGCTGGATGCTTTCATGTAGATGGAGGGGCTATGCAGAGCCATAGAAGTGATGCATGTTTCTCCCACAGAGCCATGGTGATAGTTTCCATGGAAATGCATGTTTTCCTCTACCTTCATTTATCAATTACTGATATACAAATTTCTCCTGAAGTCAGAATGCCAGTGAGATTTTGGACAGATAGAGCACTGATACAGAGTAGTTTACATGATCTGAAAGTCCTGTGTCTCCTTGATTTGTACAGCAGCTATTCATTGTTTTGGAACAACAAATAATGAATCCTGCTTGCTTCAAGTTCAACTTCAAAACTTATCAACACACCCCTGGGACCAAGGAATAGTGGAACAGATTTCACCATACATTGAATTATGTGTACTGACTGACCTGCTTTGCTAAACACATGCAGGATGTGAATGAAGAATAATGTACTGGAAGTTCAGGGACCTGAATCTTTCAAGTAAAGCTACACCTCCATGTTTAGCTCTGCATCCACTACTAGCAATGAGATATTGAGAACTTTGTAATGACAGATGGTATAAATCTCTGTTGTGTTATAGTAGGCATCTACTGGCATTTAACAGTACTTGTGGTGTTCATAAATGCAGTTTAATAAAGGTGAAGTTACATGCCTCAAATGACTTCCTTATCAAGCAATTCGTAGCAGATATTAGGATTTGAAACAGCTTTTACAGCTTTTGTTCCTTGTTGTATTGAAGATTTATTTTAAAAAGATCAAGTATAGATATTTTCTCAATTCCTTCACTCTGGGAATGTGAATCTGTGTTTTTTTCAGCTTGGGGATGCTTTTTTTTGTTTGATGCCTCCCCCCCCACCAATAATGCTGATATACATTGAGATATTATTTTGTCTTTCAGAGACATTTTTAATAAATATAACTGCATAGAATTTTAGGCTTTCAGTGTTTTCAAGTGCTTCTGCTTTGTGTCTATAAAATCAATTATTCATTTTATTTTTTTTCCTTTCCTTTTTTGTCCCCTCCTACATGCAAAGAAGTTCTCTAGCTTTCTGAGCCTTTGGAACTCATCCAAAGTTTTGGGGAGTTGTTGCTTGTAGAAGCATTCATATGAGATCTACACTGGTCCAGCACAATCTATATTTAGCTAAACTATTTTGCAACTGTTGATGGGGAAAGTATGCCAGGTATTCTATAAATATTCATTCTACTGTGGAATTGAAATTTTTCACCACAGGAGTTTAGCCTGGAAATGGCAGCATTTTTCTTGGACCCACTTTAACATTAAAAAGAGGCTGAAAGCCTAATGGGTCATCAGCTGCTACTTGATTTTCTGTTTAGAGCTTTAGCTTTGGGGGCTTTTGTGTCCTTGAGGTGGAAAGGGTTTAGATTGCAAGATTCAATCCGCTTTTATAGACTGTCACACGTAGCATGTTTCTCTTCTTCTTGTTCAAAGTGTATAGGTGTAAACAAGGCTTGATTCCAAACTCACTGCATTATACAGCAGGATGAGTGTGCCATATTCCTGCTTCTGGCATGGGAAGAAGCCTGGTATTTAGTGATGTGAGCTAGTTTATGCATTTCTCTCGCCGGTCCTAGTTTTGATGAAAGGCAGTTGAGGACTCTGAAGCAAATATAACCCAAGATTCAGAAATCCCTAGAACATCTCTTTGTCCAAGCAATACCGAGACTTTGTCTCTTGACAAGAGACTTTAAGGAGCATCTTAGGCTAATGTGGTTGCTGGTGTAGTGCCAGAAATTAAAAAAGAATTAAAATTGAGAATCTACCTCAGTTTCAGTGGTTCTAGGAATATTCTACCCTGGTAAAACAAAGAATAAAATTTTGCTCTTTTAGCGTGCGTTTTATGTGCCTCCCATTTCATGCTGCTTTTTCTATTTTTATGTTGGCGTGATAATGCAACTCTAGTAATGAATGAGATTGACTGAGTTTTTAACAGCCTTTGAGAATTATACTTTTGCTAGGATGGCCTTGAAAATTATGTGGTTTCATAGAGGAAGAGAGCGAATCTGACTAAAAGATTCTGACCCCTTCAGAAATGTTATTTAAATGGCAAAATAGCTAGTGTTGTGTTGAGGATCTGGAATGGTTGGGGAGTCCTCCTTAACTAGCATAGAGGATGAGAAAGTCAAAACTAGGACTCTCTGGAAGCTAGAGATTTTCTGATTTAGGGTAGTTTCCTATTGAAAGGCTAAAGGCAATAAGTTATGGTCTTTCAACATGACCAACACCTTTCTAAAAACTACTAACCTTTAGCAAACCTTCAGTAGTCTCTTTTAATTTGCAAATGCCTTAGAACAGGTAGAGTGAGCACTGTAGAAACTAAATCATAAAATATACTCTAAAACCCCCAAATCATGTTTCAGGCCCTCCCCATTTTTATTAAAATGGAAAACTAGATGAAACGGAAACTATCATTTCTCCAGTGGCAGAAATGGGCCACAGGTAGATCTAGTGGAGTGACTTTGGGATATTTGGTCCAGGATTGAATAAAAATGTTTCTTTAAAATTTTTCTCTTTGTTTTATTTAGCCTCAACGCAATGGAATATCTCCCAGAATGTTTAAGGCTTTTATAAGTAAAGGCCACCCAGAATTTTCCTCTAATAGACAACAAGACGCACAGGAATTTTTCCTACATCTTATAAATCTAGTAGAGGTGAGAAAATCCCAATTACTGCTTCTTTTTCTTGGTTATATTAGAAAATGAAGGCAAATCTGTTATATGAGAGTCTAATTTTTTTAATTATAGTGTATTTGGTCTTAGATATATAGAAAATGCCACTAATGGACATGTATTTTGGTTTAGAAACAGTTGTTTCTTTAATTCTTCCTTTTCTTTACTTCAGACTCTTGCATGACCATTCACAGGGCCAATGCTGCTGATAGCAACTGTTGGAGATATAAAGAGGTCAAGCATCACTGTACAGGCTATAAGATTTATAAAAATATGTGACCTTTTAAATTGCTGTTTGTGTTATGGTTACATGCTATCTGTTTGCTTACCATATTGGTTTTTCATGGAATATTAACAAATTTGGTATTATTATTATTGTTATTATTATTATTGTTATTATTATTCCTAATTCATATAATTGTTGGGAGCAAATTAATTACCCTGTCCAGCTCTCTTGCAAATCCCAGCTGTACATCATTGAATCACGGGAGGAAGGACTTCTCTGCTGAAAACTAAGTAACTGTTTGTCAGTTGAATATTTTAGTATAAAAGTCTAAGTTCCACTGAGCTCCAGCTCACTGCTGTGTGTATAAGAATCATACTGTGAATTTTAATGCTGTCTTTCTGAAAAGGAATTTACAAATACATCAGTTTTGATGTAAAGCATTTCTTGTCTACCCTCCTCCCTCGTTTTCCCATTTTCCCCAAGAATCGAGGGTGTTTATTCACGTGTTACAGTCTCTAGATGAAGTTTCTCACATTTGCATGCATAATGTTCCACATCCCAAAATGCATGTACTGATTATAGGGTGGTTAGAAGACACTTCTCTGTTTCTTGCCTGATAACAGGCATTAATGTGAACAACAGGGAGGAGGTATATTATTTGTTTGACATTCCCATCTGGATAATGAACTACAAGTTGCTTGTTCTGTTTCAGTGCAGATTCAGAGTGGTGGGAGCAATTCTGTTTGCTGAAAGGATACTCCGTGTTATTTACCTGAGCTTTCTATCTTTATTGTAACCTACCACCTCCCTACCTTCTTCTGTTCACCTCGACTCAGTCAGGTTCCTTAGGCACATGCTCTGCAAGTTCCTGTGTAGAAAGATACTGTTGTGGGTGCAGACATTGTGGACTTCAGTTTATTCTCTACGGGTGCAAGATTTTTGCATGCAGTCCAATGCAAGCTGAGCTGCCAGATCCGGGTGCAAGATTGGTGTCTTTGTGCTTGCCATAAAACATCCAACAGCCTTTGGGTTGTCTGGTCATTTTAATGGTCATCACATAAGTGATTGGGTTTAATATTCCTTTCAGAGGAACCCCGTGGGTTCAGAAAACCCGAGTGATGTGTTCCGGTTCCTGGTGGAGGAGCGCACGCAGTGCTGCCAGTCCAGAAAGGTCCGCTACACTGAGAGGGTGGACTACATCATGCAGTTACCTGTTGCCATGGAGGCAGCAACAAACAAAGGTAAAGAAAGAAACTGGTCTGTTTGACCCAGGGATGTGACACACTTGTAGTACAAGGTGTTCACCCTTGTTTTGCATGTGTGTTGCAGGGGCAGAGGGGTCATGTGTGTGCCCAGAGATCCCCCTTAGGACTGAATCTCCTTTGTCCTGGGCAGTGAAAAGGTTTATAAACTAACTTCTTCATCATCAAAAAGGAACTGAACATACTAGCTAATAAATATCTGGTAAAAACACACACTCATAAACCCCCAACCCCCCAAACCAATAAAAAAAACCAGATTGGCTTTGTGTTTGTTAGCAGCGGATTAGAAGATTTCATATGATGTCAGAGAATAGAGGTATAAGATAGTTTGTAATCCATAAATACAAAATACACAATTTGGATATCCTGGACTGTAGGGAAGGAAGATGAAGCATTGGATGTTGATTTAATAAACAGGAGTGGTGTTTTGATGCCTACAAGCTGTCTGAAACAGGACACTTGTTTTTAAAGGAGACAATAGCTGAGGAGGCTTGAAAACTTGGAAGCAAGAGAGAGACACTGACAAATCGTGGTTGCCCCTGCAATCAGTGGTGAAGAGTCTTGCAGACTAACAATAAATGTGAGCTTGAGGTAGAAATGAAGGAGACATCACAGGAACAGTAGAAGGGGGATGTACCTCTGGTTTCATACACAGATTCAATATGTAAAATATTTTATAGCCAGAGGGAAGTATTTTGGTTGTTTAATGAGATCCCTTGAAGTAACACAAAGCTGAGAAGTCTACCTACTGCTTTTTACCTAGCCCACAACTCCTTGAACTGGATGTTAAGTTTAGGATAACTTTGTAATCTTTGTTCATCAGTTTCAGCGATGATTCTGTTGCTTATAAAAGAGCATGTTATTTCCAGGTAATGACTCAGAAGACAGATTAGTTTATAAATTTGCCATATGGCACTGCTCAGCTTGCTGGTGTCAGGACTTTTTCTAGATCATACATAATCCTGTCCTGTCCAGATAGTCAGATGACAGAGATAGACAGCAATAACTTTCCAAGTCAGATTGAGCTGATAAAGTAGGTAGTTGGCGTTACTATTCACACAGAATTCTGACTGTCATGGCAAGATTTTCGTTGGTGGTTCCCTGGCATTTCCAGTTCCGTGTTTTCACCATGAAGGAACCCCTTCAAAATAGAGATGTGTCTTTAAGTGTAGCTCCTGAACACGATGCAGACAAAAAAAATTGATGTCTAGTTAAAGCCCTGTAAAAGTTTTATTGCTAAGTAGTTTTTTGCGTTTTCAAAACTTGCAAATATAGGCCTGGTGAGGAACACACAACCATGACAGTATTCGTTAGTGTTGTGCATATTTCTCAGATGAATTAATTGCCTATGAGTTGAAGAGGCGAGAAGCAGAAGCTGCAAGGAGACCTCCACCAGAACTTGTCCGTGCCAAGATCCCATTTAGTGCATGTCTGCAGGCCTTTTCTGAACCCAGCAATGTAGAGGATTTCTGGAGTAGTGCCCTTCAAGCAAAATCTGCAGGAGTTAAGTAAGTGTGTGTCTGGCTGCCTGTTAAAATCTGTGCTCTGTGCTTGTCTTGCTACCTGGACATGACGCAGAGAGGAACAGACAAAAGCATAGTGGATTTTGCTGTTGTATTATTGTTGGGGATCGCTCACAAATGTGATGTGCAGATCAAGCCTGACAAGAGTTGTAGTGATGCACTGAGCAGGAAATCAATTGTTCTCAAGTGTCAGCCTCCAAGAGGTGATGCAGTCTGGTTGTTAAGAGCTTGAACTTTAAATGCTCGTAGCTTAATTGTTTGCTCACATTTTAGAATTTGATCCTGTCTGTCAACTAGCAATGGTTCATCTCAGTGCATATGAGGTTCTGAAATGTGTGCTCCATGTGATTTTGTTGCCTTGTTTGAAAGAATTGTATTTCTTGTCCTTGACAGGACTTCCCGTTTTGCTTCGTTTCCTGAGTACTTAGTGGTGCAGATAAAGAAATTCACCTTTGGCCTTGATTGGATACCCAAAAAGCTGGGTATGTGCTTTTTATATTTACCTTTTCTTCATTCTATCCAAGATAATGGATAAGGTGTACATGCTTTGGTCTGTAATAAGGACCTGACTTGACTCTTAAGTTTGTACTGTGAGGATCCTAATTGAGTCTTCTTTCCTTTTTTGACAAATTAAACCAATCCAGCAGGTCTGTGGAGTTAAAACACAGTTTCATGTAATCTGACCTCCTATTTAAATTGTTTTAGTGTTCCAAATGTCTCAAATAACTGTTTTCAGAAGGAGAATCCTGTCTGTGCTTGTACCTCGAGTACCAGAGTCCACTCTCTGAAGGGGTAGGTTACACCACAAGGGTCATTTTGCTGGGTGCATAAGGTTAGCCTGTTTCTCTGCTTTTGTAGATGTTTCTATAGACATGCCAGATTTCCTGGATATCAGCCACCTTCGGGCCAGGGGGCTCCAGCCAGGAGAAGAGGAACTTCCAGACATTGCTCCTCCCATTGTCATTCCCGATGATCCAAAAGGTATTTACTGGCTTACTGTCTCATGTGTTCCCCTTTCCTTCTAGCACACAGGGATTCTCTTTAATCTTCACATTTTGGGACTGTGAACAAAAAAGCAGCTCTGTGCTTCTGTCACTGAAGACTTTTACAACACAGCCTTTTGTCTTCCCTGCTAGACAGCCCTAGTTCTTCCAGCTTTGATGTTTTCAGGGTTTATCATAGAATCACAGGCTGGTTTGGGTTGGAACGGGGGGTTCCAACCCCTGTGCCATGGGCAGGGACACCTTCCACTAGAGGGTTTGATAACTGATGCTGCTGTTCAGGACTCTTTCCAAATAACCTTCAGTTCATGTCCATGAGTCCCTTGCAGTAAAGTCACTGTGCACTTCCCAGGTTCTGGTGCAAAGGACTTGGTCTCAGAGTCCTGCTCTGGGTCTCATGACAGGTGTCAGAAGTGGGGTGGAGCATTAATCTATTTGGTCCTTACATTTGCATAAGAGGTGTTACTAAACTGCTGTTGTTTTGTACTAAATTTTGTCTAAAACCTGGTGATAAAGTAATTTGCAAGGTCCTGTACCTAAATCAATTTCTTGGTTCTTGTGCACTCCCTTAAACACAGTATATGGTCCAGTATATCTTGGTCAGAAGGAATTTTAAAATCTGTCTTTTATTGCAATTATTGATGTAGGATTTTAGTGTTACAGTTCTGAGCAGATGCTCTTCTCCGTAGTCACAGACTTTACTTAGATAATTCCAAACACTTTGGTTCAACGTGGCACAACAAGCACAACATGTCTGCAGAATTGATTAATTCACAGGACAATACTTAGTGCACAAGGGGCCACAATTTAAGATAACAGTTTTCCAGGCATAGATTAAGATTAAAACTTTTATTAATTCTTAAAATACAAGAATTGTTAGCTGCATGTTAGACATGCAGCTGCCGATAGTTCTCTTCTCTGGATGTACATGGCTGTACAGCCCATTAAAAAAGGCTGTCTTAAGGAGATGATGTCAAAAGGCTAACTAAAAGATTTCTAGAGGAGAAAGAAAGAGGAGTGAATAACATGCTATGCTGGCTTTTCCCCCTTTAAATACAGTTTCTTTTATGCTAAAGTTCAGAAACAAGAATATTAGAATGTCCTCCTTCCCTGGGTTTCTTTGGAAAACAAAATGGTTTATGGCTAGTAAAATGATGCCCTAGTGAATGGCTAGTAAAATGTGCTAGTTTATGGCTAGTAAAATGTTACCTTAGACCCAGGTTGTTGCAATTTCATCGGGTGCCTCAGTATTTAATACGAAACCAGTAATGCAACTACTCTCATGACATGATGGCCCCATTTGCTTGGATATTTTTAATAGAAGTGGCATAATATCAAGCTGTATGTAGGTGAAAGGACACCAGTACCTGAAATTGTATGCAGAGCAAGGATATGGCAAAATTCAGTTCTCTAAAGGTTTTAATTTCATCCCATATCTGTAGAAGTTTCTCACAAAGGCCTGTTCCTTCTTACCCTCTTGTTGAATGGACTGATCTAGTTTTAGTGTAAGTGCATGGCTGATGGTACTTTATTTATAACAAAACAGATTCTTGCTTAGGTCAACCATCAGCTTTATTTACTACTGGTTTTTAGTACCATGACACTTTGCTCTGAACTAAGGGAAATTACTGCTCTAGTTCATGGCAAAAACATCGGGGATGTAAGGATGAGCGTGCCCTGTCTCTGTGAGGTCAAATGTTTCTATGACTTTAAAAATACGGAATTGTTTTTTCACCTATGGATCTACTTAGCCTGCATATAAGTCCTTTTCCCTGTTTTTTTTTCCATTCTTAATTTTCAGATCGTATGACGAACCATTTAATGGAGTGTACGTATCTCATTTTTCTGAGACTGGTATTTCAGCTGCTTAAAAGGTTGTCATGCTAATGGCTTCTCATCATAGAGATGCATGAAATGTTGCTCCGCATGCTTCTAAATAACAGCTGATTTCTGTACTTGTTCAGCATTTACTTCCACGTGTGCAGGATTCTCTTAAAAAAGAGTCTGTAGTAGCATCAGTGTAGCCAGAATATGAGCTGCTCCTCCATCTGCTGCTCCTCAGGAGGATCTTGCAGTTCTGGAGGTCACAGCTGCTTGATCCTGGCTTCCTCTGGACAGTGATTTAATCTAAAACTGTCATTCAGAGATGAAGTTCAAGTGGACACTGATATATCTGGCAGGTGTTGTTTCTCTAACCTGCAAGATTCTGCCTTTGAGAGGTGCTTGCTTTTGGCTGCCACTTCTAGCTAAGTTCACCCTCTGACTTCCTCACCCCTTGAAATTCAGTGGTGAGGTTTCTTAATAAATAAAGTCCTGTAGTCATCCATCAAGGTTTAATGATCTGTGTGGATTACTGTGACAAAAGATTATCTCTAAGTCCATAGCAACTACTGTAATGCTGTGTACAAGGCTTATGGCTGTGGGTTTATTGAAGTACTAAACCAAATCCAAGGGATAGGTACTGTAATATGTGGCACCATGAATAACAATAAGACATACAGTGGATGAAATTAGACTTTGATGTTTTAGAAGGTCTTTTCTTGTAGCCCTAGATATTGATGAGTCTTCAGTTATGCAACTGGCAGAGATGGGCTTTCCTTTGGAAGCATGTCGGAAGGCTGTGTACTATACAGGCAACCTGGGTGCTGAAATTGCTTTCAACTGGATCATTGCACACATGGAAGAACCAGGTCAGTGACTGGAATGTGTAAGTTAAACTCAGTTCCTCATTGTGTATTTTGGCAGTCAGTAGAAATTTTATAATGTGTGACAGAGAAACAACGGCCCCTTCCCCACCTGGGAAACCTGGAGATGTGAGTGAATTTTCCTAAACTGCTCCTGGGATGTGCAGAACTTGATCATTATGTGGTATCCTCTGCCTAGAAGAAGACAACAAACTAAGCTACACCAGAAGTACACTCTCCTGTCCTCACCAATGGTGTGGGCCAGCTCTGTGTTTCCACCCTTTGGCTAGGTCCGGGCTGCTAAGGGGGAAACTGACTTGTGATCAAGTGTAAGTACAAAGAATCCTGTGGTCTGGATGCTTTTCTTCCATATGAGCCTAGCTCAGGCTAGAGCATTCATGCTGTACTTAGAACCTGGGCTATCTAGTGATGGACAGGGCTGCTAGATGTTCTCCACGTCCTGTGTTTCATCCATACAAAGTTTGGGCTACTGATCCAGCACTGGGTATATCTGAGTACTCCCTTGCCAGGAAACTCCAGATTTGGTTAAGTTCATGCTTCACCATGGGCTTTTGTGCTGCTTGTGTAAATGGGGAATGAGTTTCACTTGGGCTTAGCTGACATTTTCAGGAATGGAGTCAGTTCATTTTACATCTGTGCACTGGGTTGTCTATTATCCTGGTGACATCATTGCTTCCATACCAATCTGTGCTACTTTCCTTCTGCAATGTGCAAAGTTATTCCAGTCTGCTAGATATTTTGTAATGTGCACATTTGTTTTGGTTTTTTTAAGGCTTTCCACACATCTAAGTCCCAATTTAGATGCCAGTGAAATGAACTTACATTGATTTTGGGACTGCTTTTGAGGTCCTGCTTGTTTGTTTGTGTTTTTTGTTGACTTTTCAGTTCAGTGAGGCAAAAGAATGAACTGATGAATATTTGTTTGTTCCAGACTTCGCTGAGCCATTGGTCGTATCTGCATTTGGAGAAGTTGCTTCCAGTGGGGCAGCAGCATTAGGAGCTATAGGATTAGATAACCAGCCCCCTGAAGAGATGGTTGCAATTATCATTTCCATGGGATTCCAAAGGAATCTAGCAATTCAAGCGCTGAAGGCAACAGTGAGTTCCATGGATTATTGGTAGCACTTGAATTTTGTTTCATGTTCTGTACTTTGTACAGGTGCATGCTCAGATGCCTTTGAAATGTGTATAAAAATCCAGTTAGTGGATGATCCACCAGAACTATTCTGGCACAGTGTGGGATGCCTGACTTCTCTGGAGTGGGGAAGGTGGTTTGTGTGTTTCACTCAAAGTGTGGAAGACAGTGAGGAAAACTTACCTGCTTTTACTATCAGCTGAACAATAACCTGGATGCCTAAAGGCTATGTGTCTGCAAGATAAGAACATGGATGGGGTCATGGATCTTAGTTGTGAGATTATTTCTTTTCCATATTCCAAGCTTCTGCAGAGTGTTTGTTGAATACTGTTTTACTTGGAGGTAGACTGTGTACCTTACAAGTTTTAAGTGCTGTTAACATGATCCTTACTCTGTTCAAAAACTGTTGAGCGGCAGCATGATGGTAGAGAATGTATTAAAGGCTGCTCTTTTGATTATTTGGCTCACAGAACAATAACTTGGAGCGTGCACTGGAATGGATCTTCAGCCACCCTGACCTTGAGGAAGAAGGTGAACCTGCCTTGGACACGATGGATATGGAGAACAATGCTAATGCCAATATCCTTGCAGACACAGGGTCAGAGGGACCCAGGATCAAAGATGGGCCTGGAAGTAAGTTCTCCTTCAGCTTAGAACTGGTTATCACGTTGTTGTGTCACACCTATACCATTCATAGAGCTCCTTCCTGTTTTGAAAGTAGTTACTGCACCTTTTTGGACATGATCCAGATAATTCACTTCCAGTCTTGCTTCTGGGCTTGGTTGGCTGCTGAATTCTGTGGGCTGTGTTTGCTCAGAACACTCTTTGCTTGGACTCACTGAATAACCTGAGTCCGAGTTTGTTGTTACCAGAGCATGTAAGTCTGTCCTGGCGAAGATTTACTTTTTGTTTTGTTGCTATAAGATAAAAAGACAGAGAAAAGCTGCAATGTTTAACTCCTCAGAGTCTGAGCCTCCTAAAGACAACGCTGCTGTTACAGACCACCTGAGTTTCTGTCCTCCTGTGGTCTGCTGGACAGTTTCATAATCCCTTCAACCAAACTCCTTGTTCAAAATATGTGAGATATAGTTTGTATCCTGCATGTGCTGCTTTTGTTTTGTTTTCTTTTGGTTGAGATTCTGTCATACTACTGCTAAATAAACCACAAGATGGAGCTAAGGTACAGCAGGCAGAGTTGTGAAGCAGGCAAAGAACCTGATGTAAGTGGAACAGCACTGAAGTACAAAAGCTCAGTGGTGGTGCTAACATAAGGATAACACATAACATTTTTTGAAGGGCCTTTAGTGACCAGTTCTAAAAACTGTAGTATGTTTTAAACTTCTACCTCTGTTCTTGAATGTAAAGGTCTTATGAAAAAAAAATTAACAGACAATTTTATTTTTGTTTCTGTGGTTGCTACTGTTATATTAGCATTATAAATATCAACCTTAATTCTTTTGGAGACATGGGAAACACTGATTATTGTTAGGTTAAAAAAAAAGATTTGGAATAATTAATTTTTGTGGTACTTAGCCTTTATAGACTGAGACCTTTTACTGATTGCCTGAAATCCTGATAACCAACATGATTCTGTAAAATGGCTCCAGAAAGCCCTCTCCACCAAAATCCAGGCCCATGTCCTTATGCAATGAAAAAAGGTACCCTTTCACTTTTGGTGGTAATTTGGGTGAATGGCATGAATGGGTGGGGATGAAGAACTAATGCTGAGTTCCCCAGGGACTTTAGGCACAAAAATTGTCCTTGTGTTAAAGGAAGAGGTTTCTTTCCTGTCCTTTCTTTTATCGACTGCTAAAATATAAACTTCTGGATTTTATTTGATTTTTAGGGGATCTGTGATCACACTTACAGACATGGCTAATTTGTGTGCAGAATGAACTCCATATCTGGCACTTTCTGTGATGCTGTCTGTGAACTGGGAATGAATCTGCTGTTTTCTTTCCTGGTAGGGGCTGTGATCACAGCCCTGGTGTGTGCACAGGTCTGTGTGGGTTTGATTAGGATTGGTTTGATGTTTGACAGTGAATCTGATGTTTGACAGTGAACCTGACCAATAGGTAGAGTGAGAGTATGCTGCGGTGCTAACAGAAACTCTGTTTGGGGGTGCAGAGTGTGAGTTAGGAGTGCTCAGCTGATTCTCCAGTATTAGAAAGAACATTTCCCCTGGAGTCATATTTCATTGTTAGGAATAAAAACCTTATGATACCATTTGTACTTCTTAAAACAGGATATGAGCTGTTTGGGTTCATCAGCCACATGGGAACATCCACGATGAGTGGCCACTATGTTTGTCATCTCAAGAAGGAAGGAAGGTGGGTGCAACTGGGAGACTCACACAGGGATAAGCAAATGCTTGGTTTGAGGCATGAATCTCTACAGTGCAGAGTGTGCTCACGGCAGACAACACGTGTTTTACCATCTATACATTTCCCAACAAAGAAGTGAAATCTGTTACAGATTGTAGATGTGAGTCAGCTCTGATTCCACTGAGGTCTGGGCTGAAATGTACCATTGGCTCTCCTGTGCTTGCTGTTACAAATTTCTTCAGTTTGGGGCATTGGTTCTGTATCTGGCTTAGTTTATCTGAGCTGTCCCCCTCTTCTTTTTGTTCCCCACTGATAGAAAGCCATCAAACTATGGGCTGATACTAGTATTGCTGGTACCGTGGTGCTGATCTGGGCTGTGATTTTGATACACTCCCATTATCTGGCATTGGGAATCCCTGATTTTTCTTCATTTGAACTGTAACAAGACATGCCTCTTCATTTCCCCCTTCCTTTTCATTTCCTGGCTCTACCAACACTCTACTTTAGCTGTTTCTCTGATTTTTTATTCTTGTCTAATTTTAGATTTTAAGCTCTTTGAAGTTTGTGTCTGAGAAGTCCCTGATAAACTAGTGATGATTTTCATACACACAGAGTGTGATCCATCTTTTTTTTTCCTTTCAGATGGGTGATCTACAACGACCTCAGAGTCTGTGCCTCAGAACGACCTCCCAAAGACCTGGGCTACATTTATTTTTACCATAGGATAGCAAGTTAGACCTCAAATCTATTTCCTGGCCTTAAGAAGCCATAAGCCTTTTTAACCTGCCCAAAAAAGCGTACAATAAAAAAAAAAAAAATCTAAAACCAACAAAAGACCCCTAACCCTTGGACTGCCAAAAAGCAAAAGAAAACATGGGATGTTTATAGTGTATTTAAAAACAGTCATTTGATGCCGCCTTAAATGTTAGACGGGAAATTTCTATTAGGTGCTGTGTAGTACATTGTTTTAAATTTATACACCTTAAAGGCCATGCAGATTACTGGTGGAGTTTGCAGGGAGTGTGGGGAGAAAGTGGAAGCTTCAGTATTGAACAAAAATAGCTGAGTTCATCCCAGCTCCTGCCTGATCTGTCCATGCATCTGTTGAAAACCACAAACAAACATTGGCGTCTTTGGTAACTGGAAGCCAGTGTTTTCAACCAAAGCCCAGACCACTTGTGAAAATCATATAAAAGTTGGAGGGAGAGGGTCTGTGACTGTTCTTCAAAGCAGATCTTACTTCAGAGGTTATTTACAGTGCAGTGAGAAAAGTCAACTAAAGTTATGTCTGTTGAAATTCAGTGGTATAATATTTTGATTTGCCTTTTTGATGCATAAGTCTAAGAGCCTAATGGAGATAAAAGCAATCTCCTATCAGTGCCCAGTACATTTTCTGCCAAAGAGAAATAATAGATTTTATTTTTGCAGACATAGATTTCTTCATCTTCTCTTGACTGTTCATTTTGCAAGTTCTTCCAACAGATACAGGACTACAGATGGCTAAAAGAAGCAGACTTCCTGACTATGAAATTAAACACATACTCTCAGGAAAGGCAAGGCTATTATTTAAATTTGGTTTTCATATGGAGGAGGTAAGGAAGGGTTTAATGTCCTGTTATATTTACGTCTGGGAAACTTGCATCTAGACAACTCATAATCCAGCTGAAATCAACTCCCTGACGAAGTATTCACAGTGAAAGTTTGCTCTGTGAGGGGGGTGGAGGGTGGGTTGAAATTGCTTAGTAGAATTGCTGATTTATTGATTTGCCCCTCTCTCTCCCCTTAAAAGAACCAAACAACAAAACCCAACAAGAACAAAAAAACCTTGAATTGGTATTTCAGCTTTCTTAAAACTTGCAAACACACCAATAATCTGATCTCTTCCACAGACACCTTCTGAAAGGTGTTTGATGTCTCTGGCATGGTTTAAGGGGTGGGTAGGTAGGGGCTGGCCTTTCCTGTCTGTTTTTGTTTTTTTGGTGTTATTTCAGTTTGTTTTACAATGAAGAATATATATGTGGGCTTTTAAGTTATATTTGAAAACACTAATTCTAGAAAAATTACAATGATGAGTGTGAAACCTTTCATGATTCCAAAAAATACCCCAAAGGTTCACAGTGTTGGCCACTGCTTAGAGACTGTTGCTGGAGTTGCCTTGTACAATGTTACTGAGCCCTCAAAATAAATTGCAACAGTCAAAAAACCCTCTTCCTTATGAAGTGGAGGAGAACCAAGGAAGTGTAATTACATTTTCTCTGCAGTCAGTTCCTACAACTTTAATAGCAAAAATTCAGGCAGCTACACACTACAGAAGAGAACCCAAATTAAATGTCTAGGTACGAGTAGGGTATTTCATTTTTTTCCCAGTGTTTGGGGGAAAATAGTTCTCCCTCTGATCATAAAGCCTCACGCAGAGCCAAAAAACACTGTTGTTTTTTTAATCAGTTTTTGATCTTAAAAGATTTGGAGAGAAATTCCAGTGCAATAATTCTGTACAGTGTAAAGGTGCCTAATGCTGGGAAGCTCCCAGCACTTAGTGCTCTTATTGACACAGAATCATGGTGTCCTAGCATATTAATAAGTGTCCCCTGTGAGATTCAGCTGCCTTGTAATTATTGAGCCACCAGTTCTGGATGAAATAAAAGCTGCCAGTAATTTTTTTCCTTCTTCCATGTTTTAGATAGTTGTATACTTCACCAGAAAATGGCAGATCTGAAAATGGGATCAGCAAATTATGCAGTGATACATCGTCTATTTAAAGTGAAAGAGCAAAACTTCCTATACCTACATGTTTTTTCATTCTGGTAGTAGAAAAAGGAGAAAAGGCCTTTTTATTTTTCCCCCTTTTAAAAAAACAAATGTTTTGCTTTTTTTTTTTCATTCACAATTATATTCCAAGGAAGTTCAGCACAACAGCTTCCCTCTTGCCTCATGAACTTAAAGGGCTATTTATAAACTAACAAGATCTGGTGGCCACTGCCTTTTTATTTAGAAACGTTGGGTAAATAAAGGCCAACAGAGTAATTCCCATGTTCATTATTAAACTGGAAGCATGGCTGGTCTTGTAGGATCAAGAATGGAGCTTGGACTATTGCAAACTATTTTTCTGGTGCATCCTTAAACTGTAATGGCTGTGGGACTGCCTGATGTCACAAGGCACACTTGGAAGGCTGGGAGGAGATAAACTGGAAATAGTAACTGAAAGGGGAGAACCCTTGGCTGGCTGTGTAAGGGAACTGTAGCAGCTCAGCTCCTGTAAGTTCTTTTTAGTTCATGACTTGTGTTCTGCCCTCCCAAAACCACTGAGCTGGTCAGGAGTGCAGGGAGCAGTTTAGAGGAAGGGCTTACAGGACTTCTGAAATTTAGCAGTTAGAAATGTGTTAGAAATTCTTCGGTCAGCTGTTTGAGGCATTATTTTATTCTCTCCCAAAGCAGTGGCTTCCCTTCTTTTTCAAATTGCTGGTTAAGTTGTCTGCCTTTTGTGATGGGATATGTGTGAAGAACATCTTGAATCTGGAGGAACAGGATGTAAACTCCTGACTCTTCAGCCTAAGGTGGGGGAGAGGAGTTTGTTTTGGTGGTTTCTTCTTTTTTGTTTTGTTTTTTAAACTACGGCATGCAGAAACCACACTCAAACAGCCCGTACTGAATAATTTATCAGGCTTTGGCTGCTAAAATTTACATGTGCTGAGTTGTGCTGGGCCAGACCTCAGTACACAACCTGGGCACACTCCCTGTGTCTGGGTGGTGGAAGAGCTGCTGGGGAGTTCAGTGTGCTGAGGGCTTCTTGCAAAAAAAGAGATGGAGGAAGAAAAATCACTGTGAGCTGTTTGAGACAATCTAACCTGAGAATTACGGCAAGCCAGGACTTGGCAGTGAATAATTCTCTTATTTCTCAGACTAATTTTTACTTCCATGTATGATACATTTAGGTTAGGAAATTGGAAGGAAGAAAAACTCAACAACTTCTACTTGTTTAGAATAAAAATTAATTTATTCAGAGCTACGGTTTTACAACAAGTGCAGATGTTTCTGAACTCCCATCACTTGAAACTCTACTGGGTTCAGTGACATTACCTCTGACTCACTTTAGTGGAACAGAAACCAGCCTCAGCCCAGTTCTTTGCTTCAGGCAGCCTCCACTGGGCCACAGAACACATTTGGAATATTGGTGCAACCAGAGCTCATTAGATTGCTTTAAAAGCCTCTCCAATTCATTCCTTTTGTTCTCCATTCTGGCAGCAGCCATTTTTATCCTCTTTGCTGCTTTCATGCATTGAAAGACTATGCAAAATATGTAACTGGACATTTTATTGTTTTCCCCATCACCCTTCCTACTTTAATGGCTGAGATCAGTGTCTGATTTCTACTCACTCTTCAGTGGTTTTACTGTTGTATCCTGGAAGTGTCTGTCCTGGTTTACTTTGCACCACTCAGAGTTGTTTGCTTGAAGCACTGTTAACTTTTTGGAGAGTATTTGTCCAAGATGAGAAAGGTTGTGAATGACATTGTTGCAACTGTTTTAAATTAAAAAGAAATATTCTCACATCTGGTGACTGTGTGGATTCTTGCTTCTTTCTTTCCTGTCTGAAGAGGAATAGACTGAATGTGCTTTGATTCTACCTCTTTTCTTATTCTTTATGATCACTTCTGGTGTTTTACTTAAAAAAAATAACATGCAGAGGGAACAGAGAGGTTCATGAGAGTCTTGATTTCTTGTGACTCCTGGGTGCATCTGTTTTCCTCACGTGTAAGGACTTTACATAGCAATGTGACCACTGGGAGTCTGGTAGGTGCAAGAATAGGCCAAAAAAGAAGAGTGAGGATGACAAGCATTTCTACTTTTTATAGGATCATGAAACCAGGAACTGGAGGAGAGGTAAAAGAGGTAAATCTGCCAGGCTCTGAGTGACACTTCCTGATGTGGAAATAGAGGACATGTGACATGTTGAATGATAAGAAATGTAAAGTTGGTTCAGCTTCTGAAATCCAAATTTAATGATCTGTTTTGGTCTCTTTTCTATGACAGATGTCCTTTGTGACCATGGCAAGTCACACCACACCGTTCACACCACTTGTAGCAGCTGGCAGAGGTGGGAGAGTGGCTCCTTGTGCAAGCTGAAGGGCTCTGTTCAGACTTCATCCAAGAATTCCCTGTGTAGGATTTGTACTTGCTAGCTTTTACAGACTGTTTGTGGGAGGTGGTATTGGATAATTCACAAGTTACCACACTCTTCTCTCCCTCACTAAAGCGGGAAGTAACACCTCTGTCCCTCAGGTGTACTACAGGCTTAACTTGAATAAGGGAGGCACTGACAGCTGTGGTGGAAGACAAATGCCATAAAATTATTGAAGACAGATACTGCATGACTGACAGCTGGTGTGGAGTGGGTGATTGTGTTTTCAGATGTCTTCACCAGTATCCTTCCCTGACTTTTTGAGCAGTTTTTTATGTGTATTTGGTACTAATGCTTTTCTCCCAACCACTGTCTTTGGCTTCAGGATGACAGTGCTGTGTTCCTGATCTGGGTTCCTTACAGAGCATGTAGCTCATGGGTATTCCTGTTGCTGCTTTGTTGGTACATTTGAGCAGCAAGAACTAAACTAACCTTTGTATCTCCTGGCAAAACACACCAGTGTCAAGAGCCCACAATTACTTTCATCCTAAGCCTTAGTGTGTTTTTAATGTCTCTTCCCTTTTCTCCTTTAGTGGAGGGTTCTGGTTAAAGCCATATTCAGACAGCTTTATTTTTGCTGTGGCTCTATCTTCTAGTTCTTTTTCCTGGAGCAACCTACATGTTCATGGAGAGTGTCAGCCTTCAGATCCTTGCTGATGTGGTCCTGCTTTGTCCTGTCACAGCCCCCCAAGCTGTCCACAGCCCCCAGCTTTTCTGTCCACAACATCATACAGGAATTTTTGTCCCTCATGTCTGTGCTTACGTTGGTGTCTCATAGGAAAAGCATAGAGTAGGAATGGTATCATCCTTATCAGCTCCTTTGCCTCATCCTGTGAAAGCCAAAACTGAAAAATGCCGATAGCAAACTCCTACTATGGTGTTTGGGAAATTGCTTTAGTAGTGATTTCAGTCACTGAAAGTTGGGTTTGTTTTTTTTCATAAGGATTGTTTTGTGATATTATTACTTCTGGTTTAATTGTTGCATGGTCTTCAGGAAAAATTCTGATCTACTTTTTTCCCATTTTCTTCATATGGACTGTTTGTGCAAAAGCTTTTGGGCCAGGCTTCAGCTGAAATAAATTCCAGCTGTAAATATAATTGATCAACATGTTGAAATAAAAATAAATTCTAAAAATAACTCTACCTCAGAGTAGCAATGAATTTATGAAAAATGAGAACAAAAGCATATTCTGGGCTTAATTTTTAAGCAGAGAAACATGTTCACTTTGCAAACAATAGGACAGAAGACCTCATTGAAAAAATCTTCTTTCAGTTGGAGATGTAGATCCCTCCTTTCAGTTCATGTAATTGTAGTCAAGACCATTCTCAAATTGAAAAGAGATTTTGAAATATTTGAAGCCACAGACAAAGTTTATTTTTAAAACATATTTAAAAATCGCACAGTTATAAATACAGGTAAATAAATACAATTTAATATGTGGAAAAGAACCCAAGGAAGGCATGCTTCCATTACAGTACAAAAATACTACATCAAGTGTGGTGCTCTGCAAATAGTCATCTATGACCTTAATAAATTTAACACATCCAGTATGCACATAGTTCTTTTTTTTTTTTTTGAGGAAATAAGTTATTTTTAAACAGCAGTGCAAGGAAACACCAAATTAAAGCATCAGTAAACTAAAGGTCTGTGTTTAATATTATACACAGCTGATAATGCACTAAGTATACAGAGGCAGAGCTACCTGTAGTAAGAAACTGATCTTTTACCCCGTTATGTTCTTACATTCAGATTCTTAATCTGGGTCAATATGAGCCTTGGTAACGGAATGTAAACATTCAGGTGTCGGGCTGAGCTCCCACCTCCGCACCCACCGCCCGCCCTGCCAGGCCTGGCACCTGCCACACTTCCCCCTCACACCGGCAGGGAAGTGAGCAGGGCAGGGCTGTGCAGCAGCAGGGCTCTTCAGATGGCCCGGGTGAAAGTATCTGCCAACCCTATAATCTCTTCTTTCCCGTATGTTGGCTTAAAAATAAAGCCAAAAGAACTGATGCAAGATTGCAAAGGTTTTTTTCAAACAGTTTACAGCGTACAGAGGAAGCCACACAGAATGCCTCTCAAAACTATATAGTTTTATTTTACTCTAGATATGTTATACTCTGATATATAAAATATATTTATAAATTTCTTTCATTTTTCTGAATTTACAATAGCTTACTGATATTAAAAAGGCTATTCAAATTAAAGGTTTAGCCAATGTTGATGGCATTCTGTAAAGGTAGAAGGGGAAAAAAGATCAAAGCACATCAAGTCTTGACCATGCAAGCTTGCTCAATGGGCTGTCACATATGCAAGCATTTGTAAAGTTACAGCAAATTTAGGAAAATTTAGATTCCTTCTGTCTCTCTCCCTTGTTGAATGCCTGTTACTTTGTGGGCTGAGGCTCTGAAACTTCCCGGGATTCTGTGACATGCCTGTTTTTCACTTTGCCTAGGTTTGTTCAAAGTGTCAGTGATCTCTTTATGCCTGGCACTTCTTTTTTCTGATTTATTTCACCAGTCCAAAACCAGTAGAACTATAATGAAGGAATCTGACTTCTAGCCTAGGTAAGGTTTGAATAGTAGATAATACTGTATTGCATATCCACCGTTTTTTTTCACAACGTGCAGTGCATTTTGTCTTATTGTTTTTGTCTGTGAATACTTGGCATATTATAAACATTTATTACATAAATTCACTGTACAGACTGCTAAGCTGACAACACTGGTGACCAGAAATCACATTTTTTTCAACTGTGCAGGTTATTCATGCGAAATAACTAATATGTCTCATTTTGCAGATGCAAGTTTGGGCAAAAGAGATCTACAACCAATTTACGTTTTGCTCCATTTCTCACTGGCTCTAACAGACAATGTCTGCCAGTAGTTGTATCAGTTATTATTTCTGCCATGGTGGCTTTTGTGTCCTGGGGGCCCATGCTCTATGGATGTTTCTGGGATCACCTGGTTGCTCCGTTGGTGTTGTCAGGGTCCTCCTTTTCAGGCCCAGGTTTTCTAAATTTGGTTTATTAGCTTAACTCCATATGCTGAGGTTTCAGATGAGTTAAGTGTCTTCAGCTGGAGGTAGCAGATGTTCAGATCTTGTGAAGTTTTACATCTACATATTTCAAATAGGACATTGAACACTGAGCTGTTTTCAGAGCTACTGGGCAAGTTTGAAAAACCTGGCCATGGTAAGAGAGTGCAGACTGAGACAACAGGTTTTTCACTGATTCTTGGAATCTTTTTCTCTAGTTTGTGCTGTGGGGTTTAGACTAGAGAAGAAAATGTGAAAATCCAAACATCCAGCTTCCCTGTGAAAGCTGTGCAAATTTGGCTTTTTTAATTCTTGAGAGGATACTAAAACACATCTGCAAAAACTGTTACTACAGATGTCTGTTATTAATTAAACACTTGAAGCAAACATGAAATCCACAACACAAAGTGATTTCTAAGGATGGGATTTTAAAAGGGCTCTGCTTTTGGTCTAGCCTCTTCCAAATAATATGAACAACTCAGATTTGAGTTTGGCAGACGCAAAGTACTTTTAAAATATTCCATAGAAGATACCAATCAGTAGTTTGAAAATACCCTATGTGTAGGCCTCCTGCATGCATTCTGTAAACCCATGCTCAGGTAGCATTACTACATGCATTGGGTTAATACTTCAGAGTGGTTATTGGTTAATATAGCTGCATGCAATATTGTCACATGAGGTTTTGTGTCATTTGAACCTCCCCTTCGATATTTTTACAAGTGCTATGATTTATCAGATCATAACAAAATACCGTTAGATACAGGTGTGTATATCTGTGTACCTAAAGATCAAATCAGTTCTTCAAGCTGACGTAAGCCTGTCCCCACAAAGTTTCTGTGGTCATTACAGTTTAATGGGATCAGCCAGAAATGAGCCTTTTGCCTTCATTGCAAAGCCTCCCTCCATAAATAATCCCCATGATTCCAGTGCCTGTTCAGCACGTGCAGTGGTACCAGAGCCAGCCCTTGCCTGGTCACTGAATACCTGCACATGAGCTGATCATGCAAAGTGCTGAGCTCTCCTGTGAAGGCTCCAGGGTTCCAGTGCTCGGCAGCTTTATGGATCAGGCTTCTAGGTCACAAATATTCTTAAAGCTTTGCAGAGAGAAAGGACAAGGACAGTCCTAAGCTGGGGGTTAGGAAAATGTTTTTTAATTGCATGAAATATAAAATAGAAAAAAGACTCAAAAACTTGGAATCAGTTACCTGGCAGTGATAAATCACCTCTGGAAAAAGAGGGGAGTAACAAGAACAAGAAACAGAGGTGGGAGAGATGGTGATACACCATTGCAGCACTCTGATTTGGCCTCACCCCATAGATGCGTGCAGTTGTTATCCTGAAATGTCTGAGTCTCTTCTCTGCTGAAGCTGCTAGTCTGTGTGTGAAACTGCTTCCTTAGACCTGGGCAACCTTGTGTTTGTGTGTTACCTTCCTCTCCAGGTGAGTGGTGACCTCATCCATGCCGTCTGTGGGACAGCACCACTCCCCTGCTCACACACAGTGCCACCACATGCAATGACTGTTATTTCCCATCTCCCTTCCTTGCACACCTGGGTGTCATGGATGGCAGGAGGTTTTGACTTGGTCGAGCTCACAGGGAGCACTGAGAAGAGGACCCAGATTTGCTGTCTCTCACTCTCAGGCTCAATCTGCTACTGTTTAGCACCCGCCTTATTTATCCCACCTCATGCTTGGTTAGAAGTACAAGTAGATGAGTTTTCTGTTCAGGTTGTTAATATGCTGCAGCCTCCACACTTTTCCTCTTGCTGTTTCAGGCAAATATACGTGCTTGCCCCTGAATATTTAAGGAATGCTGTGGGGAGGTCAGATCTAATCCTGTCTGTTGCACTGACAGTGCTTGGCAGTGGGGGCTAAAGGAGAACAGTAAAGGCCAGGATACTAAAGAAGTCCCCAGAAGTCCCAAGAGCTGCTGAGTCTGACCTGTTAGAGAGAGGTGAGCTCAGTCTCCAGCTGCTCTCCCACACTGACTAGGGCAGAGCTGTGTGAGGAGATGTGCCACTGGCCCCTTGAAGTCTCCCTGGTTTATCCTTCCCCTCTCGCAGTGTCTCGGTCAGTGGTACGTGGTTAACTTGCCATAGGCTGGCTACAAGAGGAGAGAACAGCTGGGATAATCTTCAAGGGTGTGCACCATCTCTTTGGACAGGCTTTGAAGCCCCTGTTCTGTGCAGCAGAACTGCAGTGCTCTTGACTGACCCAGAGGCCTGAGCCTCCCCTTGGGAGGCAGAGTTCAGCCCCTGTGATTTGTCTGCAGGTTACACAGACAGCTCGTACTAATCCCATGGGTGTGGACATGCATCAGCAGATGAGTGTAGTTTGGAGCAGTGCATCTCAGGATAAACTAAAAGCTACTTCCTACTTAGTCTGTTCTTTTTGGAGAGGCTTGGAGTTGCATTAGGTTTTCCTAACAACTGCTGTGTTACTCGTCCATAGGCTGAAGATGATGTTTGGTGAACTGCCATGGGTATCAAATGCCCTTTGTCATTCTGACTCTGGGAAATCAAGTACTTATTTTTTTTTAATTTGCAGATATAAAAATATCTGGTTTTTTAATTTAAAGATATAATAATAAAGTTCCTGAACAGCTAATTCCTCTGGGTAAGCACCGATTATCCTGCACCACAGCATAGAGGATATTCTAGAGAAACTTGTATGATGGCAGGGCATCAAGCAAAATCTAAGCACATATGCCTTTGCTTTACAGCCTCTTCTCAAAACTGCTTCCCTTCTCTCTTATCACTTCCCAGATTCAATTGCACCGCACCTTCTGCTCTGCCTTATCAATAAAGAGCTGTCATCACACATCGCTGTCAAAGCAAAAGAGCAAACTGTTGTCAGCAGATATGAATACAGCAGCCCACTTAGCTAAAGTGACATTCCCAGTCAGTCCCATACCCCATCCTTAGAGAAAGCTGCAGGAATCAGTTATGGAACGATAGATAAACAGGAATATAGATGTAGACAATTAATTAATAAAACACTCATGAAAAATTTCTGTAGCTGTTTCAGCATCTCTGATCTGTGGGGGAGAGTGAGGGGTAAGCCTTTTATTTTTTAATGACTATCAATTCTTTGTATTTAACAGACTATAGATGGTGATTAGATGCAGTGATTACACTGTCTTACATGGAATTTTCCTTTAAGTGGTTGCTGAAAATAACAGACAGCTGCAAGAAACTTAAGGTTTGTACTGGTGAAACTGTCCAACTCCCACAGAGCTTCTTTCTCTGTGATCTGTGCAGTTGGATTTCTTTTTTATCTGGTTGAGCTGGATTTTTCTTTTAGTGTTGTTTATAAGAAATGTGCCATTTGTCCCACTTTACCACATTCCATTCCATTAAATTCCTGACCACAGGTCAGCACAGTAGCCATCTAATTACACTTTTTCTCTCTCACTATTTTGGAAAAACATTAAAAATATCAGCAACTGAAAATCACCTCCTAAAAATTTCTATTCCTTCTTTGATTGATGCATTCACCCTGAGCTAAATGTGTTTGATTGTAGCCAATCAATCCATTCATCATGTGGAAATGTACTGCCCCAACACTGTTCCCCATTCATCCAATCAGGGAAAATTAAGATGGTGTGTTTATATACACATTTGTAAGTAGCTACACATATATGGTGTTATATAAGGATTTACTCTGCTCTCCTGGAGGTCACAGAGACTCTTGCTACTGTTTGTCATAATAGCAGGATCAAGTCTTGGTCTCAATCCTACAAGCACTATATAGACCAATTTCTTCAGGGAAAGTTTTCCCTTGAGCATGGTCTGCAGGCAGTAACCCCTATGAAGATTTTTCTTTATTTGCAATAAAGATCTGTGGCTTTTTATGTTCTGAAATGACATCATTTGCATACAACATGTATGTGCATGCACATGCATGTATATGTATAGTACCTGATGGATGCATAATAGAATAATCTTTCTAGTTGTTAATGCAGTTTATACTGTATTTGCATCTCTCTAAACATAAGAATATTGAAAACCCTCTCGTTACATTTCAGGAAATGATAGTTGGTCCTCTATGCCAACAAGGCCATCCTGTACATTCTGTTGTTGGTAATAAAAATAAAAGCATAGCACTATTTTACAAAAAGAAAGATTAAAGTGCATAAGTACACAGATAGGTGCAGACCCTGCCATGAGCTCCTTTGAAGCAAACAGACTCTGTCCGAGATCAAGGACAGCTGGTTTGAACAGTAACAATTCTAGTGCAAATTGCCCCTTCTGCTGGCAACACTCGGCCTCCACACTGGTACCCGACCTCATCCCATAGACCTCCATGGACAATGTTCCTCCTGACATTGCACATGGTTTATAATCCTGCAGAACTGGGCCCAAATTAATTGAGGTACCTTTGGAAGCAAAAACTGGTTGCCAGCTAATAGATATGTCCAAAACAAAACACATCCATTTTACATGCATCTACTTTCAGAGCTGTGTTAAAAACGGACCTTGAGAAGAATTTTCATCAAAGAAATCAAAGGATAGGGAATCCCCATTGTGGGGCAAAGTGGGGCCAGCATAGTGCAACGAGCTACTAAGCAGGTTCCTTGGATGCACTGCTTGCTGTTCTAATGTGCAATAGCCATTATCTAGGTTTGTTCTTAGTATACATTTTTTTGTAAAGCTGTGTATATATAGAAAGATATAGCTTGCATGGGATGAAGGTTCTTCAGAAATTCCTATTTCATCTAATTCAGGGCTTTGTCAGATTACCACAGCTCATTTCAATCATTTGAATTTGAATTTATTTACAGTATTTTTGTGCTTTTGAACTTTTCCTTTTTGAATAATATCTGAAATAATTCCTCTATTGATCTACAGTCATGATCTGTTGGAAAATGTGGTCATTTTGGGATGAGTATTAAAAAAGTTCTGTTTCCTAATACAATTTAGTCAATTTGTGGATACTTTTTATTACGGCTCTAGATTAAAAGCTCTTAAGAGAATGTCTAGATCACCCACATTGGCAGCTTGAAATAGTTCTGGCTGGTCCATCATAGACAGAGCAATTCGAAGTGCAGCCCAAATATTGCCTGATAGAGCAGGGTGGGGAACCTGTTGTTGATTCCTGCTTTTTCTTTGCAAACTGAGAGCAGTGAGAAAATTGCTGACAGCCTCTCTGTAGGGAAGAGGGAAAAAAGACAGAATAGAGTAAAACTTTCTAAAGTTCCATGCCAGACTCTAATGCATTATTTTACCGTGCAGTTCATCAGTCTCTTCATGTTGTTCTTGTTTGATTTTCATTAAACAGGTGGGCATGGCTTGTAGTAATGCAAAGCTGAGTCTCTTCATACATCTAGGAGTAGTCTTCATTGCAGTGTAGCTCCCCATCATCTTACCTGTCTTAACCTGACAGCTGGAATACCATCCTTCAGTCCTGAAGGATATACTGCAAGTGTTTTTGGTGACATTAACTACTTGAAGCAGTTTAACTGAAGTTTCCCTTCCAACAACGGGCTCTTATATTTTCTTTTACAAATGCTCTTAAGCACAGGACTAAGTTTAAGTGCAAGAACAATCTCACTAATTATAATAGTACTTTCACTTAAAGCTAAAAAATGCTTAAGCAGCTTGGTAGTTTTATTATGTAGAATTTGTGGCTATAAGAAAAGTACCATTGCTTTGCTAGTACTTCATAAAAACTAATGACAAAATTTTACAACAGCCGAGATTATGCAGCTATATTCTGATTACTTTTTTTTCTTAGATAGCTTCAGCCAGAAGATGAATCTTCACTTGGTAGTTGTGATCCCTGACTTTCTGTGTACACATTTTTTTAACTTACCTGTATGCCCCTAGGTTGATGCAGCTTATCCCTAAATTGTATCTGGACCTAATGAAGCCAGGCTGTATTTCCAGAGCGCGTGTATAGGCCTCGACAGCTTCTTCACTGCGATCCCCGTTTGCCAAGGTCGCTCCAAGACGGTTCCATAACGTATAGTCCTGGTGAAAAAACGAGTTTTTCTACTGTATGTGTCAAAAAGGGACAGAATAGCTCGTTTTTGCTTGCAAAGTTAGGAGGACTGCAGTAAATAACAGTGTTGTATCTTAATTGACACAGAATGTGAGGTTCTGACTCGTGGTCACAGGCAACTTTATATAACTACTACAATTAATCAGGACACAGCTAGAAATTGGACGTGTATAAATCTGCTTCTAAACGGGGCTGTCTTGTAATTAACGTTTCTATTTCAGGTATTGAAATTTTAATGGCGGAAGTGACATCTCATTAATAACAGCCTGATCGAGACAGGAGAAGGAAAATGGCCTGTAGAGCTAAATTTTTTAAAATGTAGAAGTAAAAAATGTACCTCTGGTCGAACAGTTAAAGCAGCACTAAATGCATCTATTGCTCTGTTAAATTCTCCATTCAGGTGAAAAAGAACTCCAAGTCCTGTCTGCAGGTCAGGGTCTATCATATCACCATTCTGGTGAGCAGCCTCCAGGTACAAGTCCTTTACTTCTTCGAGTAATGAGCTAGACAAGGGTGAAAAAATAAAGATCCATTATACAGTTATTTACAAATATTTCAATATTGATTGCATAGCTGGAAATTAAAATCCTTGTAGTGCCTTTGTCAGGAGTGATATATTCCTAAAATTTGTAAATAAGCTTCTTCATCATGGAAAAGATCTACTTCAAGGTGGTGATGTAAACTCATGACTGGAATAAAAATTTCATCTATAAAATGAAGTACGGCCATGAACCCAAGTGAGATGACACAAAGGGTTATTAAAACTGTTCCGATTAGATGACTTTCTCGGACATAAAAGCATTCCTTACTGGCAAAAACAGTCGTATTCTTAAGAGGAATAGATAAGTGACTAGCCAAGACCTTTGAAGAAAGATGCCACTTCATAAAAAAAGACTTCATAAAACCTTTGCACTGACAGCACCAGATGTCAGCGGGATGAAGCTGAAGTAGAATAACACACTTAGCAATTAAGCAGAACTTGCATATTTTATTTTTGTTCATACTCAATTATCTTGTCAACCCAGGACTTGTAAGCGATAAGGGTAAAACATAAGGCCTGTCTTCAAAATGACAAGCAGTGAGATAGCCCGAGTGTTTTAGTTCTGCAAATCATGTCTATGCCTTTAATGACTTTATCATGCATCTCACAGTCCAGAAGTACTTGTTTATTGACCTCATGAAATCATGAGAAAGGGCTGCCAACTCATAAATTATTATGTTATTTAAAATGGATGCCAGCTGAAGACAAATAAAATGACTATACTGCCTCTTTGGTTAGAACCAGAATGGCTTTCAAACAAGCGGATGCCACCTCCCAGTCTTTTCAGAGAACTGAAGCTGTGCCACACTGCAAAATGGCTCATTCCTCGATCCTAGTGGCTGGGTTGGGATACAGGAGAAACTATGAAAGTAGGAAGAGCACACACATGTAGAGGAGGATGAAGGCTTGGTATGGATGTGGAAGCAGCTGAAGAATGAGGGTGCAGGATGTGGGATTACAGAGGCAGGAGGCAGGGTCAGAGGAAAGTAACGGGAGTTGAGGAGAAGCATATTTTTTAAGCTGTTTTATTATTTATTTTTAACTTCCAGAGATGGCATAAGAAATAAAGCCTTCAGTCTCTAAACCAAATGTCCTATGTTGTCTTCCCACTCCTGCCACTAGAGATACTGAGTATTCCATTACAAGGAACAGGCTGGATTTATACAGAGCAAGGAGGCACAGCATGCACCATCAGTTCCAGTGATGTTACAATTTCCACCATCAGGATTTACACTGCATTTACCTTTCATCTGCTGTCTTAGACATCCTCCTGTTAAGCGCTGGGGACCCTTTTTTGCTTCTCACTATATACTTGTATTTTGGATTTTGCTTTATCCAGTTTTTCAGAGCTTGATAGGCTTCCTGTTGATGGCCAGTGTTGGTATAACTTACAGCCAGGGCCATCAGAGCTTTTAGGTTGTTTGGCTGTAGTTCCAAGCACCTAGGCAGAAAATAAAAATATATTGAAACATTTTTGTAGCCAAATACAATTCTTGAATTCTTCCAAAATAAGCCGTGTAAAGAAAACCACTCACACAAGTAAGATCTACCCAATAATACTTGTGAAAAGGGACATTGTCTTATTTTTGTATAAGTGCATTATGCACGTGTATACACACATATACTACACATTGCTGTGCATACACACATATGTACATAAAACTACACGTAAAAGTTTTGTTTTCATCCTTCTGACTATGAGGAATTGTAGGTAGATTCATTTGTGTAATATCTGTCTAGTAAACAAAGAGAAGCTTTACATAATTTCAAGCAAACAGTTTAATACAGTTTTCAGCTCTGCAAAAAAAGGATTTTGAAGCTAAAATTTCTTCCATCTCTATGAATCTTAACAGTCATCCTGATTTCTCAGTTGTTCTTTGACAAAACTGGAGACAATCACCTCAAGCAGTCTTTCTCTGGTTGCGTACTATTAACTGAAAACAGAATCTCATCTATTTTGTGAACATTGCTGTTGCTTGTTTGAAAACTGGGGATAAGCAAGCCCTAAATCAGGCAATCCCTTGCATTTCTATCCAGGTAAGCTCATAAGTTACATATAAATAAGTCTGAGTATCCTTAGATGAAATAACTTCATGGTTAACAGTGCTGATGCAATTGAATATTGCTTCAAATGGAAACATAAAAGCCCATTACACAAAGATAATAATAATACTGATATTTTGGAACTCACATTTTACATACAAGCATTCTGTGATATTCACATCTCTATCAACCTAGAAACGTTGTCAGTCTAGCATTCAGCAGCTGAAGGGAGCTGTCTCCAATTAAGAAAACCTCTTCATTAAAGGACAGACTACAGAAAACATGCTAAGTGGCTAGAATATCAAAAAGACACTTCATTTGCATTATGCCTAATTCAAGTTTATTGGGCCACATAACTTTTCTTTTGTGCAACTACTTAAATTACTAGGTTAAATATTGCACTTATTTAATAAAACAGAAATATTAATCACCCTCTGAAGTCACTTGGAAAGTTTTTATATCTATGTGAATGCTTTACTGAGCTCAATAAATGCTTCACATTCCAAGATAAGAATAACATTAAATATCCCCAGGTCTCTATTACCAAATACTCATCAGACCCTTGATTTAGCACTGAACTTCATTTACCTTTGGAGGGCGACAATTGCTGCCTGCTCATTTTCATTCTCTGCCTGTGTTATACCCAGGAATTGCCAGGCCTGCAAGAATAATCATAATTTTCTTATTTTGTTATATATACCCAATTGCAGAGTTACAACTAATATCAGTGTTAAACACAGGGGTGATAAAAGAGCAGATCTGTCCAGCACTAACTACAGATTTTTCTATGGGGTGATACCAACAGTACCAATCAATACAGTTCTGAATATCTTTGGGCCCAATAAATGTTTATAGTCAATGAATGCAAGGGTGTTCTGTCAGTGTATGATCACATGCTGCTTTCTTAGATTTAAGCTACTGTACATTTTAAATGTTGGTAGAATTTTATGGAAAATGATGAAGAAGAATTATTAAGGTGTATAGATTTAAGGGGTTCTAGAGGGTTTGGGGATTCTCTGCTTTTTGAAATACTGCTGCTTAGTTTAATGCAGCAGTACATTCAAAGAACCCTAGATACTTACACTGTAAATATTTTTTACAAAAAAACAGACTTTAACACTATACTTGTTGAAAACAGCAATATTAAGGAAATTTATATAACTTTTAAAAAAATTTCAACACTCATTAAATCAACAATGTTATTTTTACAATAGCGGCGTTTACAAGATACTTCGAAAACATCAGGATATGAAGGAAAGGTTTGAAGCATTTCAAACAATTATATTACAAAAACAGTTTCTCATCCTGTGAAGGACTCACTGTTGTCTGTTTAAAGTCATATACTAATTCAAAACTCTTGGAATTTAATCTGTTTCAGTCAATCATGACTAGTAAAAGTTTGAGCCCCAAATCCTTCCATGACTACATGCTAAAGGGAATCCCCGTTCCCTTTGTCAGTAAAAGGCACATGAGTGAATACCTCTGCATCGTTGGGTTCTTGTAGAATAGCAGCCTCCAGGTATAAGATTGTAACAGGAAGGTCACCTTCTTTCATTTTTTTCAGTCCTTCCTCAAAAGCACCAGGCCAGTCTTTGAAGGGATTGTCAGTATGGAAATAATAACCCTGGAGGAGAGAGATAATGGACCCGTGATGAAGCACTGTAGCAGGGAATGACAAGTCCAAAAAATTAAATGACTCACCATTTTCCAGCTGGATGTAAACATCCTTTGTTCTGTGAAAATGGTATGAACTCCCCCATGGAATTTCAATTATAGAAAGGGTAAAAAGGTAAAATGTCACCAGACATTTATGTTTCTGCTCTCTTTACTTTTACCTTAGCTCTGAAGTGATACTTACTGGTGCTAATGGTGGGCTCTCCTACTCCCATCAAAGATAATGGCAACAACTCACACTGCCTGCAGTAGCAGCAGAGCTGAACCTATCATGAGCCCAGGATATCCAATTGAATTGTAAAGAGCACACATCAAGCAGCTGACTCCCTGCAGTGCTTGTAACCTCATGTCTGCTCAGTTAAAATTTTGAAATCTTCAATTAAACTTCCAGATACAGAACAGTGTTGCAAACACCTGAGTTTATTTTAGTATTCCTTTAAATTTTGCCTTTTTCTCTTCTTGTCACTGCAGTATAAAGGGTGTATGCTAATATCAGCTACATAACAGAAGTCAAATGAAAATGTGAAATGGAAAGAATGAAGAAGAGAGACAGAATCTCTGTCATTTCTATCCTCAACAGTGTTTGAGGATATTTTTATTTGGTACTCTTCCTTAGGTGCCTGTCTTCAAAACTGCCCATAATCCAGCAGTTTGCTTTGTGAATCTTTCAGCACAATTCAGACAGTGTGCAAGTCTAAATGTATTCTCACTATGGCAAGGTCTTTTAAATCTATCCCACTCATAGACAATTAAAGAATATGAACTCTTTTGGGTAAAGTTAACTTCCACATCCAATGAATTTCCTTGGGATCCTTTGAATAGCTGAGTCTTGTCTCAGAGTTGCACAGGAGGGATGGGAAAACTTGGTGTTACCTTCTCGATGGTTGAGATGGTGACTTGCCCTGGAGTTTCCTGGTTGTCTGAAATCCAGTTTCTGCGAGCCATTTCTTCCCATTCTGCTTGCATTTTGTCCCAAAACTCTGTGTCTGACTAGAGGAAAAGGAAGAAAACAGAAAATGAACAACAAAAACTTTAAAACAAACTGGCAAGCTTTAAATTTCTTTCTACCAGTGGTCTGTCAATTTTGCTGAATGGTATTAGTTCTATTAATAATCACACTGACTGAAATGCTACAGCTCCTGTTTGGAATTTCATATAATTAAATTTCATCTCATATTGGAATGCATTTTGTCAACAGAAAACTCTTTATCTCAGAGGCAGCGTATGTCCTGTTTGAAGCAGGATTTGCAGCAGCTTACACTGCTTCTTATTGATACTAACAGCAAATGGTTACAGAAAATTTGAAGGAAATGAATGTTGCAAGTCTCTGACCAAAGAAAAGAAAGAAAAAAAAAAGAAAAATCAACTAAGTGCATGTGCTAAAGAATAACAATAGATAAAACAGTTTAAAAGAGAATGAACTTCTCACTTTGTTATATTCAGCATTATTTTCAGCTTTGTGAAAGGGAAATGTCAAAGCTCAGACAGAGAGTATTTGCATAAGAGATTTAATAGAAATTGGGCTTTTTGACATAGTGGAGAAATCTTAATGTTGCACTATGTACTGTGCTGGTGAGAGGAATCTACAAGAGATTATAAAATTGTACAGTAAGATTAACATTCAGCTCAAAGACAAGGGAAAAATGCAAACACAAGGGAAACAGAAATTATGAAAAAAAGAACGAGATTTAGGATGTACAACGACCAGACAGAGGGAACCACTGTGGTTACTAGAAAATGATGCCAAAAAGCAGAAATGGGATTTAAAAAGAGGGGAGAATCCAAGTTTAGGTGCCATTTCGATCTCCACAGATTATCCATAAACCCCCAAAAACAGATCCATAGCAGAATATCTGCCCAGCACTAGGGGCCTTTCCAAAGTTCTCCAGTTCCTGCAAGGTCATGGCCAGAGCTTCAGTGAAATGACACTACTGGGGGCACACTTTCCCAATTTATTTATGTCAAAGAAAACAGCACAAATAATTCTATTGAGGTTAGAAATGTAATATTTGATACAAGACTGACAACTTTGCTACTGCTCCACATCCAGGCATGATTTGAAAAATAGAGCTTAGTCTGTAATTGCAGGACTTGCTGCAATGTTCCTTAGGTACTTGGAAAAAGGAAAACATGTGCCTCCTGATATCCAGCACTTTCTTCCAGGGTA